GATAAGCTTGTAATAACACACCGAAGATAGCAGATAAATGTTACGAAGCGGCTTGGCACACAAGAGGACAAAATTAGGTATACACTTGTATTATTTATAGATTTCGGAGTTGCATTTTTGGCAGAAGCCGCGTGCGACGGCGAACGGAAAAGTACTTTGCGGAATAATGAACAAATAAGTGTGACGCAATCGATCGCATTGTTCGCGGGTGAAAATTTCACTACCAATGTTCATTGATTTCGCGAGAAATTTTTTTCCACGATACAAGTCTGTCGTCGCGCAAAGAAATTCTCGTGCGCTTTTCGACTTTCGTAACGGCTTGTAATACGGTCATTTTCTCATAAAGGCCGAGTTTGCGTTTCACGTGCCATCGAGTATCGGGAGAACGGAATTACCGCGTGACTCAACGCGTGCTGCGATACGCATTTATCGCGCGCGACATTTTTCTCTCTTTCTCCCTCTCCGTCTTTCTCTTTCTCTCTCTCTCTCTCTCCGCTTTTGCACGTGTTACGCGCTGTTTGACTTTCGTCCGCAGGGACTCATGTCTAACTAATCAGCCGTTTTTAGCCAGTGGAATTAATTAACTATCACCATCTATATATTCAGTCATCGGAAGCCTTCGGTCTGACATTTGAGATTCTTTAATATTTTTAAAAATATGTATATATTGTAAAATAAAAATGTGTTATGAGTAATTTTAGAAATAATTAAAATCGTATAGAAGCGATCTTTAAAAGATGTATTTGAGAATGAATTTCATATCGCTTATCGAATAGATAGATAAAGTCCAGATAAATCTGCGTATCGCATTAGTCAGACCGTAATTATCTGTGTCTACTTATGTCTCGCCGGTGACTCCATCTGACTAGTGATATACTGAACTCCGCGTCAATCGGTTGCATTAATTTCGCAAACGGGGATTTTACTTATTAAAATAATGTGTCAAGTGATACAACCGTACGAAAGTGGAGACGGTTTTCCGGACAAAGTCCGAGTAATTCGTAATTTCGATGAAAGATTAGGCTTAAATTGATCCTCGCCGCTGAATGCGGCTTCGGATAGGCAAACCCGCTGCCGCGTGTCCGCTTATAAATATTTATCCGATTGTGTTTTTGCACGCGCGCGTTGATTTAATTGCGCGGTGACTAATCGGCAGAACGATTTGAGATCGCGATTCACGCTCCGATCTTACGTCACGTGCCGTGTGTGGCGCTCATTAAAGAGAGCTGTGGCGTCATGAGGTTTTGACGTAGACGTTTCGTGATTATTCTGAGCTTTCCACGAAGCAGAGCGGAATCGTTCGCGTATTTGTTGCGGAATATCGTACAGTGGACTTCGCGCGATGACCATTAATGGCGTCGATAACGGAGCTCTCTCGGTAGCCGATCAGGGGTTATAATTATATTATGAACCGACGTGATAAGTCGTTGAATGTCTACGCGTAAACAAGTATAGCGTGTGCTATATATTGATCAGCATTGATGCTTCGATTGTTCAGTTACGCGCTAAAATTAAAAGAGACAATTAATAACTCCGAGGCATCTTTTCAAGTTAATAATTGAAGACATTGAAAATTACATTTACTTGAATTATTGATTAATTGTATCAAGATAAAGTGCACGTATATCGTGCAGCGATCCATTTTTTTGAATAAATTTAATTATATTCACTTAATGAATTATCAACTGGTTCCATTAATCAATTCATTCATTAATTATAATTAAATTAACTAATTAAAAATAATTATTAATGATTAATTTTCATTGCTGCCAACAAAAATATTTTCTTGTCACAGCAAAGAATGAAGCGCGAGGAGTCTCTTACGTTTCCTACGTTGTTTAAAGTTCAACGTGAAAACATCACGTGAACAATACGTGTGGAAAAGAGGTGTGCACAATTTTGTTCCCGCACGATTTCAATTATAGCCGACTCGTGTGCCCAAATAATACTTGTCAAGTGTCACGTTAATGCGATTTGCATGTCGACCAGCGTATTTAAATAATATAAACAACCATTTTTATCGTAAATCAAAAACGACAAGGATACCGTTGACACGTGGCTTATCGGTTTCCGTTCCGGTATAATTTTTGTAAAAATAATTTTCCTTTATTTACAAAAACGAAGCGCGTGCGCGCGCGGAAGCGCGCCGATAAGCCGTGTGTCAGTTATTACATATGCACATAAAATATTATTGCGATCTTAATTGTAATGGCAGATTTTCTGATCAGTCGAAAGCTAATATTACAATCTTCCAATTTTTTATATATATTTTTCAATTAATTAAGTCTTAAAATTATGTTGACATGTAATGGAACTTAAGAATACGATTCCACCGTTTATTTTTATCTCGAGAATTTAGTTTGCAAACAATTTTTTTTTTAATTGGTTTTAACTTGGAAATCATTAGTTTCTCAGTAATTTTACTGATGAAAAATTAATTTATCATGAAATCTTATTAAAATTGAGATTGCAAATTGTGAGATATATATCATAATTATTATTTATATATAAGACTCTACGCAATCTTATCTTATCTTAAAAAGGGTATGGAAGATTTTCATTCTTTCGATGTGGCGTACTTTGAACTATCGAGCGATTATCATTACAAAAGTTGCATACTTTGACAGTTTATATCTTGAGAAGATTAGGTGTTTTGTAGAAAATATTCTCAGATCTTATCTTAAAAAAGGTATGGAAGATTTTTATTGTTGTCTCCTTTCGATGTGGCTTTGAACTATCGATCGATTACCGTCACGAAAGTTGCATACTTTGACAGTTTATATCTCGAGAAGATGAGGTGTTTTATAGAAAATATTCTCAGATATATAATATACATTAAGTAATTAAAAAAAAGTAAATAACGCGCGCTCGCTTGTGTGCCGAGTCGTATAAAAAAATGTACGTTAGCGCTTCGGCATTGAGACGAAGATTATTTTTCGTCGAGTAACTTGCAGTCCGCCTTCGAATATCCTATACACATTTTAAATATTGATATATTTGGATGGATCGATCAATTTGCACGTGGATCGTCTATATTTGCTCGCACGAGAGTGTGATTCGACTCGGACACGCGACGCCGCAACGAAAATAGTGTGTTTTCGAATGCGTCACCGTTTGGTGAAAACAGGACGTGTTTATCCGCCGACGCTTCATCCGCGATCAGCGCGCTCGTATATTTCCTCTCCCTAATATCTCCTTCGCTGAACTTGCATGAACAAGTTACTTATTATTGGCACAAACGTGGAGAGAAGCTCGAGTCCGATGTGTCATCGTTCCTTCCCGTTTGTTATCGATACTGCGTTAAACTCGAGATTTCTGCCGCGATAAACAACGTTGAAGTGAGAAATTCATTCTTAACGAATCGGTTAAAATAAAAACTGAATTGAGAAACGATGAAAACATTGCGTCTAACATTCGGACTGTTAATTAAATTACAAATATGATGCAAATGCAATCCGCTACGCGGTTTCCCCACGTTTTCCAGGACGGCGTAATAGACGCGCGTTTGTTAATAAAAACTTGTTATTCTGTCTACTTTACGTAACGTGAGTGCGAGCTAACAAAGTACACCTCGCGGCCACTCAAGGCTCCTAATACTTTTGATCGCTGAGGTTTCGACACTGGCTTATGCTCGAATGAATCTTAATTTATTGAGATACCATTTAACGTCGGCTGCTTGCAAGGTCGCGTTCGCGAGTTGCACGGATGCGAGCAGGAATTTCTGACGGCCGGAGCAACGAGAAGCACCTTCGCGATGCCGAGCGAAACATAAATTATTCACGATGACTACAATTTTGCGCGCATTTCTCACACAAACGCGGAATAATTTATAAATAATTTTAAGTAATCACAAAATGTCAGCATTACCGAGCGCGTTGTAGAGTTTGCTCGGAGAACTCGTGTTTTTTGCCAATTCCACGTGTTGCCGATCTACATAGCTCCGATGAGTAATTTATTTTTGTATCTAAATATAGATGTCATGGCAATACCATATGCCGATTTGCATAAGCGGGCTCGACTTTCCTCGTTGCGTGTAGCACAGTACATTGCTTATGCGCATTTGCGCTATTACTTTGTTAAAAATAAGCATACGTGAACTCTTTTACAATTTATACTTTCGAAGGAAGATGACTTGGTCTTCTCCACAAAAATTTCAGTAATATTCTTCCAAATGATTGAAAAAAAACTTGCCAGTTTTTTTTTTTCAAATTTATATTCGGAGATTCTGGAGTATTGACACTTTTTAGCGAGCTTCCCCTCGCGTCGGTTATGTCGATCGATCCAAAACAAAAGTGGATTCGCGAGACAACTTTATCGATGATAAAGAGCTGCGGTTGTTGTCGTCGCCAAGATGCAGGGATCCGGTGATGCCCGGTTATCGTTCGAAAAACACTGGACCACCGCGGTCAGCACAGTTTACCGATAAACTCGCGTATCATAACGCGAGCTTTTATGCAGAGAGCGCAGAGATCACTGCGGTCCGGTTATATCCGGTTCACCGATAACTCGACCCCGTTAAAGCGGTTCTCGCGCCGCATTTTTTCCCCCATCATTGTCGGATTTCTTCTTCTATTGACTTCTTTTCTATCCCGCTGCTCTCTCAAGCGGCCGCCGGTCAATGTGCACTTCGAAATAACTGCTCGCTATTTATGACGCACTTCAAACATTCTATATGCAGACTTGTATTTTAGCTTCGCGGGCGCTTGCATAAATTATGATTCGCTGACGATAAGAGATTTCGAGATAGTTGACGGCATTGCTGAATCAAAATTCATTAAATTACGCATTTAAAATTTATACGCGTATAAATTACATTTCGTTAATTGAAATGCTTGATGTATAATCAACGTTACATTCAAATTGATCGAAAGTGATTTTATTTTTATCAGATCGGTAATATTGTTTATGAATATGTAACTTCTTTGCACGTATAATTTATTTATTTATTAATTTATTAAACGTATAATTTATTAAGTTTATCGCTTATTATTTTTTCTAGATATTGATTAAGTAGAGAGAGTCAACAATAAGCGCTGACAATATTGTAGAGATATTGAGCAATCTAAGATACAGAAATTGGAAACACAATTCACATTATATTAATTTATTATTAAACCACAATTGCAAGTGTTGTATCTATTTTCATATCCAACCAGACTTTGTAACCGAAATGTCGATAATAATTTCTGGTCAACAAAGATTAGCAAGAAAGATTCGTGGGATGTTTTGCTAAACCGGTTTGTGTGTCTTCGTATGTGAGATGGAATAAAAATTCGTTTATTTCGCGGAAGGAGCGAAAGAAATTACGTCACATTATGGCAAAAACAAACTGGTGTCGCAATGAAATAACATATTTGTTCGTTGAACAAAAATCCTTAACCGGTTATATACGCTTATCTCGTTGACCTTAGCGTGATAATTTTTAACTGGAATGTTGTATACGATATGTCGTAAACTATAAAATGATGTTTCTTTCAGCAAGAAATTCTAATTACAGAGTTAATTAAGACTGAAGATGAAAAACATTTTTCGCAAGTAATAGTGGCCTTTGTAAAGCACTATAATTTTGGACAAGATAAATTAAAATTCATTAATAATAAAAACAAGGTTAAATCTCTTAAACGCGATGTTTGGTTGAATTTGTTAATGCGTTTCCGAAAAACAAAAAGATCGATTTTATCAGAGAAAACCTGCGATTTAATTTATTTCAAAAAAGATTCGCAATTAAGCGCGACACTTTCATACGGCACGCGCTGTCACATAAAACCGCGCTGTCAAGCGAATTTGAAATCCTGGACAAATTCCGCGCGACGTTCGCAAATAATTCGTGAATTATTCGCGGACATTCGTAAGCGCCAGTGCGTCGAGCACGATTGACCGGGAGATACGGCTTTGTGCGAGAAACGCGGTGACGGTGGAATCGGGCGAAAACTCGGGGGGGGTCAAACGGCGCGATCAGATACGGGCGATTATATCGCTTGTGCGCGCGCGATGGAAGTCGCAGTAGTCGCAGCCAGAAACAGCCAGACGGGAGACCCCTGGCCACGGGCTCGGCGCACGGTGGGGCGAGGCGGAGACGCGTGTTGTCTCACGTGTTGGGCGTAATGCATCCCGTTTTCGACACGTGATGCCTCCTCGTCGCGCAGTCCCCTCCCCCCCCTCTCCCTCCGACCCGCGGATCGCTGAAGAAACGCGAGCGTCACCGCTCGTTGCTCGTAGTCGTCGCAGTGCCTGCCGTTCGCAAGCACGCACAGCACGCCGCACGGTTTGTTCGATAACGAGAGCAACAGGCTCGTCTTCGGGCGTTAAGTGGACGTTGATTCGCTAACTCTGCACCCTTTCGACACGCTACTTCGCTCCGGATTTTCAACAATTTTTCTAATCGTAACAATTCGGAGAAGCATAAAAATATATCTTTTTGATAAAAATAAGACAAATAAAAAATATACGCGGAATAGTACGTGGATATAAATTTAAGTGCGATACTCAAATACGCTCTTAACATGGAATTGATAAAGCATACAAGCTGTGAAACGCAAATTTGAATATTATTGCAAAATCAATTTGCTGAATTGCATGTGGAACAGCTGTTGCTGCAAATTCTAAAAGTGCACGATTAGTCGATAAGGTGCGAGGTGTTTGTGTTGACTAATCAAGAAGGAGTCAATTCGGAGTCGAGTTCTCCTCGTGGGAAGATTGTTTTTAAAAGTGAATTTTTTAACCGATACAAAAGCTGTAATATCGATCAACGACAAACTTTATTTTTAAATGACACATCACGCGCGAAATCTGTGCAAAGATATTGTCTGAAAGAGAAACCAGCTTGGAGTACAATCGATCTTTGAGCGAGTGGAATATTTTCGTTCGCTCTGAAACCTTTGTGCAAGAAAATTCGACGAAAGATTATCTCTCTCTCTCTCTCTTTCCTCCTTCGTGTTCTGCCATTCAAGGCAAAATGGTCACACACAGTATGGATAATATTCTGAATATGCAGTACTACCCGACGAATAGCCACGTCGATGCATCAGTGCATTCACCGCCACCAAGAAAGAGGCGTTGTTTGAATAAAGAGGTAAATATATTTCCGTCTCTTCGAAATCCACGTATTCGCTCTGTAAAGTTTTCCGGCAATTTATCGGAAAATTGCTCTGGAATGCTGTCAAAACTTATCTGTGAGTTTTTTCGCTTAATTCAGGATCGATTTTCTCGATTTAGCTTGTTCTGTATTCAAGCCGTACAGTTGCTCTCTCAGAAAATGACGCAAAAACACGCAAGGTGTACATTGACGTCTATTAAATATACAACACCCGAATAATTTTTTTATTGATAACTAATTGATGCAAAAAAATGATTTAATGAAATAACTTTTGTCCACACAAAATTCCTTTTAAATTGATTGAAACATTGGTTGTTTTGTACAGAATTATCATTTGAAAGTTATTACTATTATTTTGTCTTTTTATTTTAATTTACAATTTTCATGTTATTTATTTTACTTCCATTTCCGATGTATGTGCCGCTTGTGTAATTTCGCATGAATGAATTTCACGGATAACGTCACATTGGCTATGTGCCAGGAACGAGGATTACAATGTGAATGCTACGCGTTTGTAAATTAACACAAAACTTGAGGCATCGTTGTGACGTCGACTTTTGTCTATTTGCTATTTTACACGCATAGTTGCGAGGCAAGTCAAACATTTTCCGATAAAAAGTTTTATGAATCTAGCAGAATCCGTATAGAAGAGTTCGAAACTTTGTTTCGAAAGTGATGCATCAAGTAAAATAAACTTATGTAAAATATGCAATGTAAGCAGCTGTAAAAACAGATTTTAATTATACTGTTTTGAAAATAAATGGCATAAATATAGGAATTTTGCTTGAATGTCGTAAAATTGTAAAAAGAATTTTATTTTATTTGGAGTTTCTGTTTATTTTTTTAAATTTAGTATCGTAATTACTGTTGACAAAGTATCCACCGTAAAAATATTTATTATATGGTTTTACTTTCCAATTCATTTAACGAATTCCCGATTAAATTATTTCTATAAAACGTTTGTGCATATCGCGCAATTTTGTCGATCGTCGAACGCGACGAGCGAAATTTCTTTTATTACATCACGTTACTTCGCGATTGAGCGCTCCAGATTGTCTTTCCGCATATTCGTACGATAGATGGACGTTCCGCCGAATTAAGCGGTTACCTAACCTCACCGTCATACGTGCCTTCGGATCGTGATATACGGCACGTACAGATAATTACGCTCCAGCAGCGGATCGAGACGTGACCTTTAAAAACGATAACGCGCTTTAATTCGCACACGATAGCGTAATTACGATCCTCCTCATTTGCGACGACTCGTTGATTTTAAAATGCGTACGGATGAAGATCGGTCGAGGCGAGGTTGCACTTTATTTTTCAAGCGCAGCAACTGTGATTGCAATATTAATCTGTCGTAAAAATTAATCTGTTCCCGAAGGTCGATATCTTAAATATCTCTCGGTTAATTAGCGCGATTAAGGCGCGCAATGAGCTTATCATTACTTGTCTGACCTCTCCTTACTGTTACTACTGTAGTCTGTCAATAAATTAAAAAGTTAGATAAAAAAGGTTTCTTTTTTATGGGAATTGTATTTCTTTCAAGTTTATAGAATATATTTAGACCTTACTTTGACTTATTTAAAGCAAGCTAAATATAAATATTTTCCGAATGAATATTATATTCATTTTCAGATCAGGCTCTTTTATAATTCATCGTTTTATATTGTACACAACTATACATGTGTCATGATAAGAGCGCACTGCGCAGAAACGTCTGCGGAACGCGAAACAGAGGAGATTCCTTTTTGTCGCGTGTCGCTACGTCAATTTTCTGCAGAGCTACAGTAATATTAAAAATCCGGCGCGCTTTATTTATGAACGCGGCACGTTTTTTGCGCGCGTGTGGCATGCGTAAGCTATTATTAGCTATCATTTGGCTGGCTATTTTCGCCACTACGCCACTACGCTTCACAAGAGTGAGAGAGTCATATGACATTGGGACATTGGGCTCACTGACCTCATCGGTCAGTTTCGTCCTACATCGCGATTAATCGCGATTCCAAGGTCGACAAGTAATCGCACAGTAATCGACCAGTCGTCGATACATCAAATTTGCGAGTATGTTTAATGTAGGACGCGTGTTCACGCACGCAGCCGCACGAATGTTTTTCTAATCGCGTATGTAAATACGCATGTAAGCCGCGCGCCAAAGGAACGAAAGAAGCCGGCAATACGCTAACTTCCGTTTCTTCCGATTAGCGCGAAGTAATTTAGATCACTACTTGCACGATCGTACAAGCTGTTTGAAAATGTCAAAGTAATTGGATTGTGTTTATTCTTGTTGCAGCAAGATCCGATGTCGCACAGAATCATCGAGAAGCGTAGAAGAGATCGTATGAATAACTGCTTGGCTGACCTCAGCAGACTTATACCGGCGGAATATTTAAAGAAGGGTCGAGGTAGAGTGGAAAAAACGGAGATCATCGAGATGGCCATTCGTCACATGAAGCATCTTCAAGGTCTTCGACAAGGTGAGTTACTCGATTATTCAATTACGATTCTCCCGGACAAAATCATTTCGAGAATGTTCAATGAAACATAACGTGTTTTCGGACAAATCAATTTGTCGTTTTTTAAGCAACGCGTAGAGCATACAATTATTCGCTGACGACAGACTCGAAATATGTATATTTTTATCGATGCTTTTCTACAATCTAGCATCAATGTGACAAAATGTGTTTTGTGTTTAGACACTAAGCACTCGCCCGTGACGCCAGTGCACACGCATCCCGAGGACAGCGTGGACAGTGTGTCCCACTCGGCTGCCGCCTCCACCGCGGCGGAGCATTACAGGCTGGGGTTTCAGGAATGCTTAAGCGAGACTATGCACTTCCTCGTGGAAGTCGAAGGTTTTTTCGCGAGGGACGCTCTCTGCGTGCAGCTTATCAATCATTTACAGCAGCATTGTGACAAAATCTTGGCCACGAGTACGTATTATTCGACCGTCAAAAGAATTTCGAGTTTCATTATTCGAATTGCTTCCCGAAGTTTGACGTAATCAACTGTTCCTTTCACCGCAAATTACAACGATTTTCAAAAGCCCGAGTAATACTCGAGACAGCGCCCAAATTTAGAATTTGATATAATTTAGTTGTTGATTTCTTTTTGTAATTTGCAATACGTTCCAGATTGCTAATCGCTTGAATTTGCTTCAGGCGACCGATTAGGCTTTCCGCATCCCGAGCTGCCAGCGACGAACGGCGCGATGAACGGCGCCGGTTACGCGCACACAAGCATTTCGACGATATGCCAGCCGAACGGCGGTCACTCGGACCACGGTTCGAGCTCGGGCGTGAGCTCGTTTGGCGACCCGGAACGCCCGCTGTTACGGCCGACGATCGTGCCGCCGCCAACAATCGTGAGTGACGACAGCAACCACAGCACCCACTCGCACAGCACGCCGCCCGGGACCGGGACTGTCTCCTGCCGAGACCGGCCGACCAATTACAAGTTCAAGAGCTCAATCAAGCAAAGGTTCTCAGCCGAGAGGGTGAAGTCGTGCTCGCCGCCGATATCGAACGGCGCTGGCACGGACAAGCCGCCGTCCTCCTCGTCCCACGGGGTACCAATCTTCGCCCTGCACGACGCCGGCTCCTTCTACGTGCCGCTGACAGTCGAGGCGTCCCTGATCAGGCCGCATCTGAGCTTCATTCCGGATATCGGGCCCGACACCGTACTTCATCCGGTCACGATATCAGTTAACTTTAAACATTCGACGCCGCCCGCGTGGACGCAGCAGCACAGCCCCACGCATCAGCATCAGACATAAGCGGCAGGCGTGAACGAATTAGGTCTCCGGTTATTGATTCTTGACGAGTCAACCGCCCTGATGCGAGAGTAATTATAAGAACTCGACAAAACTTTTTAAGTAACACTGTCAGACATTGTGATGGAATCGGAAGCGATAATGAGATCGTTTGTGATAGCCGCGAAAATCGCAAACTGTAATCGTGATTTCTCTATTTTATTAATCGCAGTACGCGGTGAATGGAGTGAAGTGGCCTATACGCGGTACAATTTATTGGCATACTTACAATTAGTACCATTGTTAAATCTCGTTAGATTAAATTTTGGGAATTAGAGAAAAGAAAAAAAAAACGCTCAGTAATATGCTAAGGTAATCTATACTAAGATAAGTGTGTAAGATTCCTTAGATCTGGATGTATCCGATCCACGCTTTTAATCCTTAATCCGTAATTTATTTATGAGCATGAAGAATATCTCAGCATATTGAGAACCGATTTCCTTCAGGGTCTTCTCCATGAACATTTTTAAAATGTGTCGTTGAATCGTCTTTCTGATTTGTTACACGTTAGCAAATTAAGCATCGCTACAAGAATTCTTTAGTCGCAAGTTTTTTTAAACGTTTCAAAAAAAGGTATTTAGAAACTCTGCTATCTCGCTCTCGCCACTTGGTGTGAAACCATAGATCTCTGGCATTATTCTCTCTCTCGTCGATATTTTAAAATAAATATTGCATCGTGTATGGGTCGCTTTTATAGCGTATGTGCATGGAGGAATGTCGAAATCGAGAATGTTTGTACATTTACTGAGGCTGTGGGTTGTTTTAGCATTTATGAGGTTCGAGAGAGAAAGAGTGTTAAGGGTTGTATATATATATATACGTATATATATACATAGAGAGAGAGAGAGTATTAAGAATAGGAAGCTCCAAGTCGTTCTGGCTTCGGCGTGTCTTTCTTCGTTGTTAATCTGTATAATTCACCGTTTACCTTCTTCCTCTTTGCCGACAGTCATTTCGTCTCGTTCCCCTCTTCGCTCCATCCGTTCTCCTTCCTCGACGCTCACTTTCCATCTGTCAATTCGCGCGTCAATTCTTACGTTCTCACGAACGAAGAAATCCAGTATGAGAATTGCACGAGTGCTCATTACGGATATCGAACATTCGTCAGTTGTGCATTGAGTATTCGATCAATGAAAGAAAAAAAAGCACGTTGTCTCGCGACACGAGCAGGGATCTGGAAACGAATCTACTCATTATATAACGATGTAGGATTTATTTCTGTTAGCGCAACAAACGCATGACAATAGACAAATGTTATTGTGTAACCCGATAGAATCGACTCGTGCAGCGATCTTGTTTCGAGATCCCGACGGATTGACGATGATTTTTCGTATTCGAGATGTAAAGTAATGGTTAACGTTAAAATGCCTACGTATATCGATTCATAAATTCCATTCTACTTTTTTTTGTGATTTCCCGTATGTACGAAGAAAGTGTTTTATTTCTTTTTCTTTCCGCGAATAATCCTATGTCATGTTCGATCACGAGAGGATTGAGTCTGCTTGACGCCCCGCCAAAAACCGGGCTTCAGCAATTAAAGACTGACCAAGACCTGCATTATACTAAAAATTCTTGTAAGATCATTGCATTAAATATATATTTGTACATACAAATGTCTAGTTATAACTTTAACAAAAGAATTTATGCGGAATAAATTATATTTACCATAGAAAAAAAAAAAAAAAAAAACTTGTCTCCCCGATTATTTCGTTCGCCGCCGTGCGCGATCCCTCGATGCGACAGTTTCGACGATTACTTTTCGCCTGCCGCGGAATTTGCGCAATTTGGGGGGAGAAAATGAGGAGACCTGGATGCAATTAAAGATTTTTTTTTATTACATCAACGTAATACTGACTAAGGGCCAAAACAATATCATAGAACGCGTCTATGGTCAGCGGGAGAGAGAGAGAGAGAGAGGAAGGAGAGAGAAAGAGAGAGCGCCGAGAACGTGGGCGACTCGCGACGGACGTCTCGTCCTCCCCCCAAGAAGATGATCGTTTTCCCTCTCTCGTGAGGGGAGATAGCCGGCGACTCGCTGACGACAGAGGGAGGGGAGCATAGTCTAATGATCCCTAACTACAGATAAGTATCTTATAAGTATAATAAAACTAATCATACAGCGCGAGGCAACCAAGTCTCGGAACAAATCAGCCTTAACGAACTCTTCGAAAAGAATCGATCGAGGAAAAAGTCTTGCTGGGACGCGAGCCAGCGGCGCTCGCCTTGACGTCGCCGGTTGCTCACGGCGTAATTAAATTATTCATTGCGCGTCCCACGGCGGGAAGTGCCCCGACGGGGGGAGGGCAATGCGGCCGCTGCCTCGCTCTGCCTCTCACGAGCGAGAAGAACCCCAAAGCGTGGCTGTCTTCGCGACGCCCCGTTGTTTTGTTTGTTTGTTGTTGTTGCTGCTGCTGCTCGGTGTTGTATCAATTGAAAAACCTAACTACACAGAGTCCAAGGGAACTGAGTACCTGGTAACATCGGACACATATCGTCAATATCGAGTAATAATGATAAACGCGGTGGAACGCGGGGCAACGCTTCCTCCTAGCATATGTGAGGCGTGCGCGGGGCGTGGGTGAACTGAATGTGCAGGTTCGGATAGATGCGCGGGTTCAACACTACCGGGTAATGTAACGGGGGTAAGCACAACATCTTATGACTTTTGGTATTAGCCGACGAGTATGAGACGAGCGGGGCAGCCGCCGCCGCGGCGGCGTGCTGCGGCGTCCTCACGGCGGGTCCCTGCTGCGCGGCGACACCTGCTGCCGCAGGGCACCAGCCGGCGGACTGCGAGCTTCCGAGGAAGCTTGATGGTTACTTTTTCTTCTGGGCTTTCTCCGCGGCCTTTGTTACCTTGCCCTGGGTGTCTTTGAAGGTGACGCTCTGCGGAGAGACATTTGGGAGGATTACTTTTCGCTTGGAAATCGATGGAAAAGCTTCAGAGATGGCAATTAGGCTAAAGTATCTGTTAACCCTGATAGCCAAGCATGTTTTGCAAAATCGTGCAACTTAATGCATGAGTTTTCGACTAGTTGCTGTATATTTGCTAAAAACGTAATGCACAGTCATACGTATTCAACAACACGAGGGCAGATTTGAAACATTTCGTGTCAGCAGATTCATAGCAAACGGAGAGCAACTGTTGCTCATTTTGTTGCCAACAAAATGACTTCTATTCATGGAAAACATTTTGCTTTGTCATTCATTTTCGACAACATAAGAGCAACATGACGGTGATAGAAAAAGATAATGATGTCTGTGCTTTTGTCGTATATTTGTTAAAAACTATTTAAATATATTAATTTGTTAAAAACTGTTTAAATATGTTAATTGTGTCTTGTAACCAATATAAAATGTCGAAAATAACCTATCTTTGTGTATGTGTGTTTTCGCGAGTGCGTGCAATTTAATAAATAAATAGGCGATACATCGACGATACTTGTGGCAAATTAATACAGCTTCGGTTTCTACCTATAGATATTTGCGGCAAGGTATATATATATAATAGATATGTAAAATAATAAATAAGTAAATTCTTCTTTCTGGTGATAACAAAAAGAAGGATTTATTTACTTATTATTTTATATGTTTAAAAAGAGTAAGGGTGCAAAATATATATTTAACCGTTTTCGACACGCTGTTGAATTTTTGCTAAAATTTATGACTCGGCATGTGTTGTTGGCAACTTGCTGTCATTTTGCTCTTTACGTACAGCGATAAACCATTGACAGCAACACATGCTGAATTCATGTGATATCATACCAGAGGCAAATGACTCACACACCTTGTTCTAAATTTGCTGAAAATTAATGCCCTTTGTTTTCGGCAACGTGACAGCAACAACACAGACAGATGGTTATCAGGGTAATTTTAAGATAATTTTTTTCAATATCTTATAAATGATGCAATACTTTTTGTCAAAATATTTTCCGCCATCTTTCAGACAAAAGATTCGTGTATCCTTAATAAATGGTACGTTGGATAATTTTAACATTATCTTGAATTTTTCAACTCCTCGTACCTTGATAACACCCACGGCGACAGTCTGACGCATATCGCGGACCGCGAAGCGGCCGAGAGGCGGAAACTCCTGGAAGGCCTCGACGCACATCGGCTTGGTCGGCTGCAGCATTACGATGGCGGCATCGCCGCTTTTGATGCTCTTCGGATTTTCCTCGGTGGTCTTGCCGGTACGACGGTCGCACTTCTCTTTGATTTCGGCGAATTTGCAGGCGATGTGAGCGGTGTGGCAATCGAGCACCGGTGTGTAGCCGTTGCTGATCTGTCCCGGGTGATTCAGCACGATCACCTGGGCGGTGAAGTCGGCGGCTCCGCGCGGCGGTTGATTTTTCGAATCGCCGGCCACGTAACCGCGCCTCAGCTCCTTCACGGAGATGTTTTTCACGTTGAAGCCGACGTTGTCGCCGGGCAGGGCCTCCGTCAGCGCCTCGTGATGCATCTCGACGGATTTCACCTCAGTGGTGAGGGCGGCCGGCGCAAAGGTCACCAACATACCTTGAAATTAGAAATTTACTCAAGATCTGACATCTTTCTCGAATGAAGATCCAAGATTACTACATTATCCTTTTGCAGTTGGAACTAATTTCGAATAAGTTGATATCATAAGTGTTTCGTTTTAACGCTGTCGAATGTAATTAACTTCTGCCATCTAAGAAATTTTAAAGATCAGAATTGTCACAAAACACTAAGATTCAATTCTATCGAAGCACATAATTACCTGGTTTCAGGATACCAGTCTCCACACGACCGACAGGCACCGTTCCGATCCCGCCGATCTTGTAGACATCCTGGAGCGGCAGTCGCAGGGCCTTGTCGGTGGGCCTGGAGGGCGGCAGGATGGCGTCGAGCGCCTCGATGAGCGTCTTGCCGTCGGCATTGCCGTCCTTGCGCTCCACCTTCCAGCCTTTGTACCAGGGCGTCTTCGGGGACGGTTCGAGCATGTTGTCGCCGTGCCAGCCGGAGATCGGCACGAAGGCGACCGAGGCGGTGTTGTAGCCGATCTTCTTGATGTACGACGACACCTCCTTCTTGATCTCCTCGAAGCGGGTCTCCGAGTACGGCGGATCGGTCATGTCCATCTTGTTGACGCCGACGATCAGCTGCTTCACGCCCAGCGTGAACGCGAGCAGCGCGTGCTCGCGGGTCTGCCCGTTCTTCGAGATCCCGGCCTCGAACTCGCCGATACCCGCGGCGACGATCAATACGGCGCAGTCCGCCTGGCTGGTGCCGGTGATCATGTTTTTGATGAAGTCGCGGTGGCCCGGCGCGTCGATGATGGTCACGTAGTACTTGGCCGTCTCGAACTTCCACAGGGCGATGTCGATGGTGATGCCGCGCTCGCGCTCCGCCTTAAGCTTGTCCAGCACCCAGGCGTACTTGAACGAGCCCTTGCCCATCTCCTGCGCCTCCTTCTCGAACTTCTCGATCGTCCGCTTGTCGATGCCGCCGCATTTGTAGATCAGGTGGCCGGTCGTCGTGGACTTGCCGGAGTCCACGTGGCCGATCACCACGATGTTTATGTGGATCTTCTCCTTGCCCATGATGTCGAGGCTCTAGCTACCTCCTGAAATCAAAGATCGAAGATGAGCAACGTTGAGCGAAGGGGAGGTATTAATTTTGATTCGACGGCCGCAGCAAACGTGAATCTAATATTAAAAGCGATGTTTTCCGCTGTAGGGCTATAGCGTGCCTATCTATAGACTGGTTTCTACTATCTCAAATTGCTTGTATATTATAGACGCGAGGGAAAAAATTGTCTCAAGCCAGTGCCGAGCCTCCACGCACACAGTTTCGCTGTATAGACGATGCTAGAGCTATAAGCGAGCCATATATATGTAAATAGATGGTAAACAACAACAGCTGTTCTTCATCGGTTATCTGCTGACATGTGAAATTTAAATATGAATATCCAGCGCACGAAGAAGAGTGATTCGTAGCAATTTTATAATTAATAGTTCTGTAATTGAACGATAAATTAAATAATTTCTTAATCCGTGTACCTTTCGTACGGCATCGGGGCAATTTTACGCGCGGCCCGTTGATCGGACATTAAAGGGGCGATAAATATTGACGTGCGAGAACCGAGGACCTTTTACAAGCCACAAAGGGTATTGATTCGTTTCAAGGAGAGACCTACGCAGGGCTCGTGAACTCTCTCCGTCTCTCTCTTTCCCAGCGTACGTGTATAAATATGAATAGTATCGGATCGAGTGTGCGCGGTTAATTCTCCGGATCGCCGTCAAGGCGATTGCAAATTATTAGAAAAATGTGCAAGCGCAATTTCGCGGCTCGACTGCGCCGACTGGGAGTTTAATTAGGAAAGCGCGGTTGCGTTTCAATGAAACTCATATCGGTCCGTATCGCGCGGCCCAGGTAATCCTGCGAGTCCGTCTTATAGATCAATAAAGGGTGTACGATTCTGTCCTAGCAATTTGGATCGTGTAGAATACGTAGATGGTTTTAAAAGCGTTCCTTTCGAATGACGGATATACGAAGAATTAAATTAATGAACGAACGAATGTCCGATTAATATCTGTTAACATATTTATCGTGTTATTTTTATTTGGTTTTGTCGTTTGATCGATTATTTCTCAGAGAATTTAAAAAATAAATCACAAATAAATAATTATTTAATAACTTCTTGAAGAAATAATTTGATTTAAAAAAAAAATACGTTCGGAATCGCGTACAAATTCTAAAAGATCTAGTTTTTTCGTCAAAAATACAAGTTATGGATTAAACTTTATATTAAGAACATAATCGATATTAACCCCATAACATAGAAAGTAGATTAGACAGAAATTTGTGTCAGTCCTAATTCGATTTTAATTAAATTAAATTTTCCTTCCGTACAATTGAAACGTAACGACTTTAATTCAGTGAAATATTTTATTTAAGTACTTGTTTCAGCGTATTGTATTTTACATTACAACCCATCGTTGCGAAAATGCCTAGTATGCCTAACGAGAGAAAATCGAATTAGCCGACGTCGGTATGAGTGCTCTCGAAATTCACTTAGAGAATCAATATCCAATAATTAATTGCATTTTCTCATCTCGCTCGCTTTCTGCACAACGCGTTGCAACTCACAAGTCCATCCGTAACGCGTACCGGCCTGCCTTTTCTAATAATAGTCACAGCCCCACGAAGGCGGCCATTTCTCAGCGGCGATCATTCGCATCTTTGCGTTGTCACTACGGGAATCCCGTCCAAATCACCCCCTCGAGTGTTCCACTATTCCTCCTCGCTCGTGCGAATCGTGAATGCGGTCGGAGAAAAATTTATGTCCCGAACACCTTCGGGAGTTTCAGGGAAAGATGTGCCGAGAGAGAGAGGCTCGTCGCGAGACCGATGCAACGCGAACTGCGATGCGATTACGACACATAGCGCAACGAGAGAGGCGAGCTACCATCGGCGAGTTGGTACCACTTACCGATCGACTGCTGCTCGATCGATCGATCGCAACGACGCACCCCGACCTGCACCAAACCCGCCAGGGAAGTTACGTGCCCAGGATGCGTTACGAACCCGATGCGAAAGCTCCGCGCACTACGTTTATCACGGCTATCGCCGGCGCTTAATCGAGCGTGAGGAACGGTTCGCGCAATGGCCGGCTCTCTTGTCACCACCGTTACGGCTACCGATTGCGCCACTTAGGAAACCTTTTACCTGCGGGAGAAACCCGGCTCGAGACGCTTGCGGATGCGAGCTTATGAGCGACGAGTCGAGGGCGGATTCGCCCGAGGAGCGGCGCGCCGGCTCGAATCGATACTCGCTGGCTGGCGCGCGCGAGCGAGCCGGCTCGAGCTTGCACGGAGAACCGATCGAAGCTACGGCTATCTTTTATGGCGGAAACGCTCTCCGACTTGCGGAAACGATTGCCGTTATTGTTTACGATGATTTACTCACCCAAGGATTTCGATGTTGATGACACTCTGCTCGGAAAATCACCGCGAACGTGCCTCCCGTCTTATGGCGCGCGCAAGCTCGCTGAGCGAGAAAGAGCGAGAGAGCGAGGGTGAGAGGAAGAGGGAGGATGACGGTGAGAAGGAAGAAGAGAGAAAGCCCTACCGGGGGTGAACAAACGACCACGGTGCCATCTGAGCGTGTTGCAGCGCTTGCGCTTGCATCGCGACCCTTCCTGATTGGTCCCCGGCCGACCGGCGAGCGTCTATTTTCCTCCTCGGCGAAGACAAAAGAACGACTCCGCCGTGGCCGAAGTCCACGATGTCCACGATGTCGCCGCTCGCGGTGCATTCCGCTTCGATGCGCACGCTCGCGTCGCAACTTCGGCTGTTTCCCAAAAACATGTTTTTTCGCGTGTCCAATTTCGCGAAAGAAAACTCGTTTATCGGACGTAATTGCACGACAGAGCTGTCGGCGATGCATCTTGCGCGTTATTGCCCATTTTTATTGATCTCCCGCTTGCGTGTTTTGTTCGAACGTCTAGCGCTGAAATTGCATTTCGTGGATTACGCGATGGCGGAAAGTTTGAGCACGATCTTGCGTTTCACGAAGTTTTTCAAATTCTTTATCGTGCATTTTGCATATTTGTAATTATAGAATACATATATTGTCTTTTGTATATTTCTTTTTGTTATTTTGAGAATTATCTACAAAGATATGATAAAGGAGAAGATATTGCACTCCTTCTCTTTCTATAATTATAAAATTTCTTTCATAAATATACATGTTATACAAAGTGAAGCTTATAGACAGGTAACGCAATTAAAAATTGACAAATATATTATAAATATTCCATAAAAAAAGCGAACGAGCAAATATATCTACTGGCTGACCACATTCGGTCTTTACTACTGTAGACTTTTTTACAATTTTTTTATTATTTTATTTAAACGAATATATATTATTGAGAATTTTTTTCTCAACAAAGATTATAAGCGTTATAAAAGAATGATAATGAAGCAATTTTTGCCTTTTTAATAGAAAAGATTTAATTTAAATTTTGAGGAAAGATGTCGACTACATCACGTGCTCGGTACGATCATAAATAGAACCGAGCAGTCATTCCAAAGTCATCGTGAGGGAGGTCAGTGCTGCCTCTAAAGATCGCGAAGAAAATTAAATCGACGCACAGAAGTATAATTTAAGACCGCATAATTAATTGAATTATGTAATTTGATAGTTTCGATAAAATTCTGTCGCTCTACGATTGCTTTACTACACACACTCGAGGATGGACTGTAGCGATTCGGAAGAGGTCAGTGACAAAATTATCTTCAATGCCAAAATGTCTTTACGTGCGTCAGTTATTTGCATTAAATCGTACTTTGCAATTAACTCGATTAAAACTTCCCTTGATCTGATCATGCACTTCTTCGTTCTTTTTTCCTTTTATTGCTGCTATTAATGCATACACAGTTTTAAATGTGTTTCACTTTACAAATATGTACATACATTTCTCGAGCTCTGTTGATACAACAGTTTTATTTTAGTTGTATATTAGATTGTTGATCATTCTATTAATCTGATCAACGAAAAAATGATTATTACTGTTATTTATCACGTTTGATCTTTATCATTTTGGATTTTTTCACGATTTTTTTCTTTTTTATTTATCTACGCATATATATTATAAGCAATATAAGCAATTGCTTATGAAATAATATATAATAATAAATAAATAATATAATATAATAAATAATATAATATAAGCAATTGCTTATGAAATTTAAGGTTCTCATATTTATATAAAATACGGTTTTATTTTCTCTGTGTTACATATATTTCGTGTAAATGTTTATTTGCGTAAAAAAATTGTTTAGATGATTCATTTCCTTTTCATCGCGCATAATTCGCGCATGATTAAAGGATGTATAAAATAGAATTTGAAAATGACGATTAGTTACCTCGAGTTCCGGAGTTGTGACGAACACGGCCAAAAATAACGAACGTCGGTTAGAAATAACTGAGAAAGAGAGAGAAAGAAAGAGAGATACTTACGTCGCGATTTCCGTGCGCGCGATATCATGATTGGATTACGATTCATTCGTTATTCCAACGTATTTCGGCCTTTGATGTATTACTGATATTTCAGTCGGCGGACATTGAAAGCGGAATGCAAAATAAAATTCCGAATGGGAGGGCTGAGAGATATATTGTATATACGACAAAATATCCTCACGACCTTTGCATATAGAAATATAAACAGGATTTCAAAACAGCGCGATTTAATAACTCGCGAATGCTTCCTGGCTTCCGCTTTTAGCCGAGAATATGTTAACGGCACGCTTAATGTATGTTCCAGTTTATTCAGGTCGCGCGCGCGATCGTTACGTTAAAGCAACCTGCTTTCTTCAACCCTTTATGTGCTGACGACAGTGACGGATTTTTTTATTAAACATAATAAGCGAATACCTAGGGTTTTCCGCTTTATTCTTTTACTTTTTCAAATATGCGGTTATTTTTTGTAGAAATTTTACGCTAGACATGCTTTAACACCAAAAATTGGCCCGCATATCAATAATTCAATCTTACAATTTTTCGAAAGTTTAAAAAAATTTATCAATTTCGAAAATGTTAAAGAGATCAATTAGAAGTGAGCTAATTTTGAAAGTTAAATTTCCGGGCTTTGCTATTTACAATTTTTCCCGTACATTTCCACGTTAGTTTTTATCAATGATAAATCTAGATGGTAACTGAAGTTTCTACAAGATCACCGCGCATTTAAAAAAGTTTAGATGGCACGTGTCCAGGTGAGTGAACGTTTCGTTAAGCCGTGCGAATACTGACTGTGACTAATGCGAGTCAGACATGAATGCCAAATACCTCGAGGTTGTGACGGGGAAAAAGACTCGAATACCGACCGACGCCCCCCGCGGACGCCCGCATGCCACTGACACCGGTCAATGGCGCGTACATTTGCTTGTGAAAGTTTCACGCATGCTTTTTCGATCTCCGGTGATTGCGAAAAAAAAACCATTATATTTTGATTACATTTTGCACCATGCAAAATGCGTTTCGCAGACGACATTGCGATGCGCTTCGTTAATTTTAAATTACTGGCGCTGTCATCCCAGGTCATCTATATGACCGATGAAACGGCTTGGTGTCATTCGAGCAATTTCACGACTTTAATTTGGTTTCCGTTATATAAGTCCATCAACGCAGATTCGCCTAATTACTCCGGAATCTGGCGCGACGTGCCAAAAAACGGGCGAATTGCGCATCTTATCGCAGAAATGTTGCGCGAAAACTTTGATTATACTCAATTATAGATTAACAACGCGATTTCAACTTTAGAAATCTTCAACCGTGATCTTCAGCAGGGAATGTCTTTGCGGAACGTTATTAATACACGGAAGAAATAATAAACTTTTCAGAAGCTCGCTGCAAACAGGAAGATCTAGTTTTGCGGCAGAGAAAATATTATGCAAGTTTATTTCTTTATTATGTTTACGAAGATACTTCGCCATTTCATTTAGTCATTCATGCCGTAAGCTTCAACAGCGTGTTTTCATTGTACCATCCGCGTTTGCCTCCTGAGTTATTATATTTATAGCACGCACGTGGTTGACCCTTGATCTCGAGTCTTGCATTACATTAGACCTTCGTGGTTCCGGATTTTGCTTTATTGCATTCCCGACACGAGCTTCTTCGCCGAGGAAAACAAAAGAGAAGGTTGTAATTCAGAAGATCACCGGTAGATAATTTTTCAGATTTTTTTACGACCATCAATTACAGTCTACAGCTTTTTAAATAGAATACTTATAATTCCAGATCTAAATTTGCCCACACAATTTTAGCCATAAACGCGTTACGCTGAAATATAGCTCACTCAATGAGATATAAATGGATGGAAGGAAATTATGAAGAATTTATTTTCCACGCGATGGATACATTTTGATTGTTTAATATTAAAATTTGCAAAAAAAAATGATGTTTTAGATTTGTCTATATTTCTCTTGAAAAAATAAACTATGCATTTTGGATTTTGCTCACTGCAGAACACACCGTGACGTTCATTGATGACGTTCAAAATGCGCGGCACAAAAACAAATCTATTTTGCGTTCCCGCAGTGCTGAGAATGCGACGTCATAAGCGTCAGTGAGTCAAAGCTCCTTTTATGGCTAGTCATCCGGCAATATTTGTGCGTGGTTGGGCATTTTTCGTAAATTTTATATTTATGAAAGCTCAAACTGAATCGCAGAAATAGTTCATTTATTCTATCTATTATTAAATAATTTTCTTTACATTGTATAGGCGAAATAATTTACAATAAATATAATTTAAATGTACGCATATAATGATACACAAATATATTATAAAATAAATATTAAGTAAATTTAAAAAATTAAAATTTTTTTAGGATTGCAATTTTAATACATACTCGTATGTTTCACAGCGCGAATTCTTATTACATATAATATTGCAAAAATATATATAAATTTATGGATATAATCCAATTTTTAATAGTTTCTCTTAATAATAACGCAGATCGAGGAGGGATTTACAAATCCAATTTCTAGTTGACAAATTAAGCACGCGGGGTGCTTTAGATAGTCAATATACACTATCTTGCGCCCTGATTTATGCACGTGATCCAACTCGTATATTGTAAGCCTGTCAGTGACAAATTGTCGCCGGTCAAAAATTAATTTAGAAGATCAAATTCGCGCCATGTCGTCGAATATGCATTGTACTCGTTTGCACATCTCGTATCTCTTTGCCAGACACATGCACTTGGATTTCCTGAATGGCCACGCGATCGTCACGTGAAGACTGTTAATTTTAGTGGATGTGCACGCGATTCCATGTAATTGCATCGCCAATAGGGATTATCGATGGCTCTTCATGCAGCGATACGTTTGCGAAATTGCTTTCCTGGAATTACACGCAATTTTACACTTGTTTAAATTAATCTAAAATATCATATATAAACATTTAATTTAATACATTTGCATAGATTTGAAGTATAAAAATAATGGAACGTAATGCTGTATTTTACATTAAAATGATAAAGTGAGAAGATGACTAATTTTATGGTAATTAATTTAAAATGTTCCTTTATTTTTTAACTTTTTTTCGTAATGTAATTTAACATAATCAGACGGATAAATGCATACACATAATAATTTTTTTGCCCAAGCAGTCGTTTATGTCGATTAATTTCTGCAATCAGTATATCAATTGCATTTGACATAATATAAATAATTAAAAAAATACGTGTTTTTCTTGATATGATCAAATTATTTTTTTTAATATAGCCATAATTTGAGAATAATTTTAATTTGATGCATACAGATAGTATATTATTTAAGCATTATTTCTCACAAAATTGTATATTCATATAAAGGATACGCTGTAACATCTTTTTCGCTGCGACATTATCGTGTGTTTTGACAATTGTTAGCTAAATTTGGCCGACGTATCAATATTCACATTCAAATGGAAAAATATGCGTCTTCTTTCGTCCTCTTTTATACTTTTCGACAGAAAAGTTCTTGTGTCGTATTCAGTTACGTGCGTCCAGTCACTCGAAACGAACATGTCTATGTCACTAAATATTGCAAAAAACATCTGTGGGGAATATTATGTGTCGGATTTTGAAGCACAGTGCAAGTTTTGTGAGAACAAATATTATTATATAAACCCCGCAAACTTTAAAAGACATATGGAAGCACATCATGGAAAAATTTGGAAAGAAGAGAGAAAACTAATAAAATGGCCGTGGATGTGTTTCAAGTATTCAAACAAATTATTTTCACGATGTATCATGTGGAAAATCGCTTAAGTTCGCATTCTGAGAAACAACGGAAGAATTATACATATAAGTAAGATAATTATAATATTATTTTTATTAAGGATATAGTTATGATATGTATTTCTTTGTTATATTAAAAAAGTAAATAGTGCGCGTAGCGCGCGCTGCTGCCTAGTTTTACAAAAATAATAAAGATAGAAAATATAGAATACAAAATATTTCTCTGTTCTGTTGATATTAATATTTGAAATTGCGGCTTTTTAAAGATTGACAAATAAAATTTACATTAATATGCGGAATGATTTCTCTGAAACGCTAATCGGTTCCTGCGAATATTGTACCGAACGAATTCGTCCGGTAAACAAACGGAAGGAAACGAGATTCATTTGCGAACTAATTCCTGAAAGTAAAACATGAATGGATTCGTGGGCCAGCTGGTCGCGCGCGGTCGCAATTGAAGAATTATCATTTCCGGTGCGCGCAGAGTCGTCTGGCAGCCAATCAAAAATCTGGGAATCGGCTCGGAAATGCGGGAAATATTTCGGCCCGTACCGAAATATCGAAAGGAGGGAGCCTCTCGACGTCGGTTTCTTATAAAAAGAGACGCGCAGCGTCGTGACGCCGTATTCACTGCACCTTTGCCGTGAACGTCATACTTGATATCGCGAACGATATTGCGAGCGGAAGTACTGTGTCAGTTTAAGATAGTTTCTACTATTCTACCGGTAAAATATATTTTTTTTATTTATAACTTTGCAACCCATTTGCAACTTTGTTGGATTAATTGCAACGCCGTAATGTCTTCGGCAATGTATGTGAGTATTGGCGAACTTTTTCAGTTAAGCAGTTTTAGAATTATTTAAAAATTTATTAATAAAACAGTGAAGCAATTGTAACTATATTTTTTTCTTCAAATAAATTTCCAAGTAGGTTTAATTACAAAAATACACTAAAAATAAAAGAGTATTAATTTAAAAAAATATATATAGATAATACAAATTCAATGGCATAGATGATGTGTTAAAAAACGATATTTTATGTTAATATTTTCTCATCAAACATTATAAGTGTACTATTTTAAAGATTATTATTTAGAAAATTATATTTAGCAAGCATTATTATTTTATATAAACATATTTATTGAAAGCGCATATTTCTCTATTAATTAAGAGCAATGCAAAGTTACTCTTGGAAGAATTGAATAGATTTATAGTCTTTTTTAAACGTTGCTAGCTTTTTTTAATTTAAAAAATTGTTGAAACAGATAAATGTGTGAAAATTCGATGAATGCAACTACAGAAATGATTGTGAAATATCCGAGATGCCATTGAGATGTCTTTTATGGTCAGGGTCAATCCGTATATTCAGTTTGGCAAAAATCCAGAAATTCCTAGCTTATTAGGCGCCAAATGACTTAACTCGTTGACGTCTGTACGATCTATAGAAGTGTATAGCTCGTTCTCTCAAGATTTCAAATTTAAAATTTTCCGAAATAGCATTTGACGCCTCTTTACATTTTTTTTTGCGTCTTTTTAATCTCCTTTCACATCTCCCAATCGTCTGAAAGCAAAGAAATTGACATGTGCCTCTGTATAATTTTTGTAGGAATCCTTGGGCGCTAAGGTTGCTATGTTCAATCAGTATGCCAGCAAACACAAAGACAAACAGAGCAAAAATCCGTTCACATCTGGTCTGAATATCGAGAAGCCAAAATTCTCCAAAGAAGAATACGGCAGGTACATAAAATGTAGCGAGGATTTATCAACTGTACAAATGTTTTATTTCTCAATTTAATTAATTAATATTACAACTTGCAACTTAACTAACGTATTATGATTATTGTATTTAAGGCCGGAGGCAGGTTCCTTGTCCGATTTGCGTGGTCGCAAAGCAAACGCCCATGTATTGAAGGAAATCCTGGAGCTTTGTGAAATTATTAGTCACGAAGGCACACCCTGCCGAGATCAACCCAACGTGATCGGCATCACGTTTGGCGATATCTTCAATATTTACACTAATATCAGTAGCAAATGCGTAGGACTGCTGCTAAGAGCGAGGAAGCAGAAGTATTTAGAATTCGAAGGCGAATGTCTTTTTCAAGTAAGCATGAAAAAAATATCTTCACATTTCCAGATACTTTAGCTTCAAATAACGATTATTAAGTAAATAAATTATTAAACAAATCTAGAAAATATATATTTACAATTATTTTTCTGCGCATTTTGTTTAATATTCAATTTATTTTGTATGCCGTGAAGATTTGGTACGTGAAACATAAATTCGATTTCTCTTTCAGAGAAGAGACGACGACGTTCCGATATTTTTAGTCAAGCCGATCGAAGAAATTCGCAAGGAATACAATCAACGACTCGACGAAATCCGGATGGACGTATTGGATAGTTAATGCAAATTGCGTCTATCTACAGAAATATTATTTATTCTCGCAGCGACATTCGCGATTGTTGTATTCAAGAGATCCATTGGTCTGTATTTATTCGCCTACATTTTTATAGTAACACAAATGACCACTGTATGTAATATTAGTTATGTAATTTTTATTCGACTTCTTAGTTTTATACACTGAGAATGAATGAATGCGGATCGGTATAAATATTTCGCGAGTAGTGCAAGTCAGATGTGTGTTAATGTAATAGTAGGGTGATTAATTTATTTTTATCAAGCATTTTGTCGCGACAGTCAATTTTGTAAATACTTAACATGTAATAAATAGAATATATTTTACGTATTCTTTTATTTCATCTTTTAGAAATATTGTATCTACAAGAGTTCATATATTTGTCTAAACTCAAGATATTTCTTATCTTAAAAGAAAATATGGAAGGTTTGCATCGTTGCCTTTTTTCCGCAATGCCGATTATACAGTTTATATCTTAAGGTTAGAGAAAGAGAGAGTAGTGTATTACATTTAAAAGAGAAACCAAACAACGTAATTTTATTTTTCATTTTAATTTAATTTTTACTTATAATTTATACGGCTTGCGGTTAAGGCAGACACTTTTTTGTGTTTGATATATTTCCGATAATTTATTGTTCAAATCCTTTCTGGATTCTGTCAAAGGCGCAACTCTATTGGTTTAATATGAATATTCGCGGTCCGATTATTTATTTTTAAATTATTCTACACTGTATATTTTTGTAATAATCTAATCACAAGTTTAACTAATTTTCACACGTGAACAAAAGGATTTGTGTTAAATAATACTGATTATAGTGCTACAAATTGCGGCAATAATGGTGATATAATAATTTATAAGTAATATTATAATATTATTTTTATTAAAGATATAGTTACAATATATATTTCTTCGTAAAAAAAGAGAAAAGAGCGCAAAAAGAGAGAATAAATAGCGCGCGTTTGTGTATTTCTTTTTTGTTTTCTGTAATTTTTTAACAGAAGCAGATGCTGGAGGAGAGAGGAAAAAAATGTGTACAAAGGAAGTAATCGCATAATTTATATATTTGTATATACAGTCACTTTACAATGCGCACTTTGTTACACAATGTAGCTCGATTACTTTAGATCAGCGAACGCCAAGTGATCTCGGTAAAGACGATATCAAAGTAAAAAAACTAATTAATAAGAGGGGCGCCCTGCCGCGTGTATCTCTCGCGCAAAAACGATGGGCGACGACGCTGAGGGGATATTTAATGTCTGTCCACGCGAAAGCTTTCACAAAGCCTCTTCGACGTGATGCAGGACAGACCGAAGTCCCGCATTTTCACTACATATTTAATGTCGAACGCGGCTGTTCAGGTTTCCACATCGAGCTTAGAACATTCATTCGTTTGAACCACTGGCAAAGTTCCATTTTCTGGCATTAAACGAGCAGTGAGAATGCGAGACTTAATCTTTCATATTTTCGAAGGCAGCAAGTTCGATATAACACTCGATGATACGTGAACATTTCTATCATCAAAAAGCACTCTCCGTTCGAGAAAAAACATTGATCGTAGGATCTCTATATTGGCAGTAGCGTTAGTCGTATATTGCAACAGAAATGAATATATTCCTTTCTCTTTCTGTCCGCATCTTCCTCAACTCGTTGAAAGCGGCATTTTTATCAACTAATTGAATAGCAATAAATATTTGTAATGTAACGCTTCTTAAACTTATGACGTACTTAAAAAACTAAATATATAGGTTCGATATAAAAAAAAGAGGTATAAATAAAAGGTATAAATATTTTTAAATGTTCAGAAATATCTAAAGGTTTAATCTGCGAATCGAGTCTCGAGATGTGCAGATATACTTTTCCGTCATTTTCCTTTTTTTTTCGATTATAAATACGAGCAAGAATCGCGATTGAATCAAGCTGTTCAAAAATTCTGCTTCTCTCTGTCAAGTCTCTCCACTCTCGCTCGAGGGGGCACGTTACGTAGTCGTAAAGTGCATTTCGATATGTCAACGATAAGATAAATGGAGAAGGTAAAACACTTTCCAAAAGACAAAAATTCGCATGTCGAAAAGGGAGGGATATGTGTGCAAAGATTGCGCGCGATTGATATTCGCGTTGATTGCAGATATGATTTTCTTGGACAGCGATCGCAGTTGATCGATATGCCGTAGGATTATCGCAAATGCGGCATTTCATCATTTTAGTTACATCGTGGAAAGCCGTGAGGTAAAATGGATCAAACTCTTAGCGTCTTTACGAAGATAGTCGTCGTTCTAATCTTGATGAATTCTAAGAATTTTCGAATATATTTGTTACACATTTTACATCTCGTGATTGCCGGATTTTCACGCAGTAACTGGCATCTTCATGAAATACTGCACGTAAAGAACGTTCGAGGGTGAAAGAAATCCGACGATGTTCCGTCGTGATTTCACGTAAGCGTATTTTCCAAGCCTCGCATTGATGTTTCACACTTAACGTTGAGTTTAACATTGAAATTCACTTCTTTTATCATAAAGATGGTCTTTAATGTTGTCGTGAGATTTAGACGGATATATTTCATTAAATGTAGGATATCAATACGGGCTGAAATTACTTGAGGCTTGATTCACACTATTAGGGACGGATTAAGTTGGATTAACGCAGTAAAAAGTTTCAAAAAAACTACTTTGGGGCTAACAGGACAATAATTTTAACTTATAATCTTACATATTTCTTGTTATATTATTTATATTTAATTATAAGTAAATCTATTCTTAAATTAAACAACGCATTTAGTTATTTTATAAATTTTAATTAGTACTAAACATATTTAAACAATTATATTCTTAATATTATATTTTTTTCATGTTTGTCTAATTGGATAAACATAAATTTATGTATATAATTATCTCAAGAAATCATAATAAATTACTCAATTATGATATAAATCTCATTATTCTTATTATACTTAAAAATTTTAATTATCTATAAACTTTCAATTAAAGTTTTTCAAATTAGATTTTTGGGCTTCAAAATTGGATATGTTTTTATTTATTAATAAATATATAAAATATTATATGTATATGAGGATTCTTTTCGAAGCGTTATTGAGCCCATAGTTTGAATCAAGCCTGTTATACATTGTTTTTTTCCGAAGGTATTTTTAACGAACGATTTGCAATGATGATCGATATGGATCGATATGCGATCATAGACATTGAGTAGCCTTATCGATCGTTCGTTTAATGCTTCTTGCAGAAGCGAGTAATCGTTGTTTTCTTCTGTAATTAACATTCGCCAATATTCGTGGACTGTGAGTATTGCTATACTTTTTAAACCGAATTACACTCGGATTAGAAATTCGATTGCCAACAGTGTGATTTTGAATTAAATTCTTCCAAAGCTTTCTGGCTTAGCGATATTCCATCAATCTTTGTTTAATAAATATATGGTTATGCGAATTACATTATATTATGTTATTTTTTTCAATTCTTCGAATACACAATGTTACACGATATGATATTCGATATGTTTCGCGATCACACGCTGCATTTTTCATCACATTCCGAAGTTCATGCAATTATTATTTCATTCTTTTCGATAAACATATAAATATCAAACTAAATTTTTTAAATATTTCCTTGCATGTTTGCGCCCTCTGTACTAATTAATTTAATTCTCTTTTAGATCTGCAATGTTGGCAATCACAAGTGATAACATTTGCAACGCCTATTTCCGTTGCAACTGCAATGAGCATCTAAAGTGGATTTCATTGACGGTAGAAAACAGCAAAAATTCGACGGTATCCTTCCACGTCACGCGTTATCACGGGTTTTGTAGAAATGCACGTCGTTGGACGTGCCAGCGTTCTTCGGTATTTCTTGAAGGGTCCTTCGCACCGCCACGATCTTGTTTCCGATATTTACGTGACCGGAAAGAAGCGTGTTCGCCGCTTGTACTGCCGGTGATAATCACGTAAACATCCGTAATACCGAACGTTTCCAACCTGTCCTGTCATTTTCAACTACTTTCCGTCCACTCGCGCGTTGTTGGCTACAGAATTGCGTGAATTACTACCGAGAATTGAAGGTTCTTCTGACAAATGGCGCTTCGCGTCTCTACAAATCTTTTAAGATTAAAAAAAGAAAAGAAACTTACACGAGAATTCCTACTTTGATAATCTCGTAGAAATTTTATTCGTCGTTCCTTTGCGATTTTATTTTTTATTAGCGGAATGGACTTCAGTCGTGCGTATTTTACATTCTTCTGGCTAAAACAGACAACGATGGAAACGTTTGATGGTCTTTAAAATTATCAGTAACAGTTGCATATAAAATAATAATGAATGTACGACAAATTTAGGCATTTTGCTATTCCATCTGAAAGGGAAGAACACGTTCATATATTACTGACTTGACGTACGTGCGTGTATGCGTTGTGTGTGTGTATGTGTGTGTGTATATATATATATATAGATTCATATATTATATATGTGTGTTGTGCATATAACGCGCGTTCTCTCTCAGAGTCACGCGAAAAATAAATGATGCGCATCGCGAGCATCGTTCGAAGGCTAATCCGTGAATTGGTTACAATAATTAGGTCGTTACGATGATCTTTAGGTCCGGTTATAGTTATGGTACACTCTAAAACGAATAATTAATTCGTTATTTAGCAGCGCGTGGAACTATTTACAGATCACTCGCGCAAACTTTCACGCACCGTTTTCTCTTTCTCTCTCACGTCACTCACGCACGTCTAATCGGTCGCTAATATTTCGGGGGTCAGTTACAGGCGGTCAGCAAATCTACGCTGCTACGCGTAGAACCACGCTGCTGGATCCTGTTGTAACGCAAGCGTGCATAGGTGTAGTTTTTCGAAGAGTATCCATTTGCGCTCAAATCCCACAATCGCGGGATTAGTCCCGTTAAAATTGTATCTCACGTGTCTCTAATTTTGGAATCGCACTTTTCGTTAGAATCAAGATGGAAGAAGATAAACAGTCGATTCACAAGTCGTTATGTATTTAATTTTAGCAAAATTTAAAATGTAAATCTTAACTTTTTGGCGATATATTATAATAAACGCATGAATATTACAAATAATATATGTAAACATTTAAATTAAAGGTAATTCTGAGAGAATTAAATAAGTATATGGGTCTTTTTTATTACTAATGCTTTTCTAGATTTGTTAATTTGTGAGATCTGAACACTAATGGACTGAGCTCACGCTGGCCATCAATTATGTGCCTACGCAATTTAATGTCGGTTCCGCTCATCAAATGGAATGTAGAGTCCTCTGTATATATATATATAAGTATGTATAATATATATTTATATATAATATATTTATTTTCTTGCGCGTATTTTGTAAAAAGCCTCCCCTATCTAAAAACAACGTGTTGTGTGAGTTTCGTTTACTACTGGCAATAAATCAACAAGTCCTTTAAAATACATTTCCTCTATTTCTGAAAAATCCACGGTCATTTTTAAATCTCTCTACCGAACACTCAAACATAACACCGATTTATCTTTTTTTTTTTCGTTTTCTTTTTTTGTCATCGTTTTTCCCCCACTCGTCCACCATTTTAGTCAGTCTTGGCATCGTAAAACATTAAGGTGCTTCAGTACAACTTATAAGTATAGATTCTATAACGAGGGCTTGTTTTTTTTTTTTAAGCGACCCGACTTTTTTTTTTCTTTTTCTTGCTAAATTTGCGCCATTCGCGCGGATGTGTGTCTGCCATATACGTATACAGATAAATTCATACATATATTTTATGTATATTAATCTCGTCACCTTAAAAATATATTATTGTCTTTCGATGAAAACGTAGCACTTAACTCGCCGTTCACTCCTTCCCTCCTCGCTGCTCCTTCGTCTATTCGTATCGCGATGATAATGACGATCGATAACGTGTATTCGCGAAACGATCGATCGCCCGCAGCTGTCGTCTACACTTGAACTTCGATATTGTGGTCGGCTCGCGAATAGTGAGAAATTGAATACCGCTACGATTAAGTACTTTATCCCTTATTTTTTATTTATTGGATGGCTCTATAAGAAAGCAGTATTCGCCAGGTTCCTACAATACGCCGGTAAAACTCTAGCAATGTCCGCACCTTTTACACGCAGCAGTGATAAAGTCACAGTTCTGATGCCAGTGTGATCTCCTCGAGGAGACAATACGGTATTTTAAAGTAAAAGTTTTCTCGTCCTCTGGGGTCATTCAGACTTTTAATCGCGCGAATAACGCTATTACTGGTTATAATTCTGGATTTACTTTTGGTCTTCATCGTTTTAAAGACGTTTGCGCTTAACACTGAAAATTGTAATTCCTGATTCTGGTCCTGTTGCGAGTTTAAGCTCTCCTCTTCCCAAAAATATCTCGAGTTATCCTTGAGAGAGTGAACGTTCCGGTTAGTTCTGGTCCTACGTAACTCTGGTTCTGTTGAGACGGTGGTCTTACAAGAAACATCAGACACAATGCCAGACTTCTGTGCGAAGTCTCTCCGATTCCATTCGCACTCCTGCGGGTATTCCCCCGCCCCCTTCAGGGACATAGTACTATGAGATATGGTGATTTAGCAAAACCGCTGTATCAAAGGTCCAGTGTGATTTGTACGAACGAGGTCCATCTTTGTATAACTTTGGCAGGAATCAACATGTCGCTCGGTTTCGATTGAAACATAATTCTCTTATGTATTTGTCATCGTTTCCTCGTTATACTGTGAGTTCAGTCTATTATTTCGTTAGGAACAGCAAAGACTCACTGAATCTCCAACGGTGATGGGATTGACGATCGTCGAAGTCGATTATCGCACTTATCGTTGTCGGTGTGTTTTTTTGGGCGATCGTCGATCTGCGTTGGCGATGGTTTGACGCGCGCGCGCATGCGCGAAAAGCTTGCATTCGAATCGCGATTTAACTCGTCGTTGACGGTGTCGTCAGATCGACGGGAGTGTTTGATGTCGACGTCGCATTGACAATCGTCAGAAGTGGAGTTCGTTATCATACATCGTTGTCGTGACAAAAGTCTATTCTTCGTCTGGCCAGCTGCAATCGCCGCTTGTCAATGATGAAGTCCGTCACGCAGCCCTTGATACCGCGGTGACCGGGCTTGCCGCCGACAAAAAGCTTGCCATTCGTCGTCAGCAGCGTTGTGTTCGTGGAAACTTTGACGGGCGCGTACTCGTCGACTTGGACCGTGCAAGCTTTTCGTCTTCTAGTTGCTCGAATGTGGTGGAAAACTCCATCGTCCACTTTCTCCTGTAATCAGATTGACAACGGTATGTGAAAACTTTGACGATTTGTAAGCACCATCATTTTTGTCAACAAGAAATTTGTTTCGAAAAAATCGTGAACATTATTTACGCGCTATTTTTTGTTTGTGCGGATTTTAGAAACAGATAACTCGCATTAGATGGATTTAATAAATATATTGTAATTCAAATAAGGTAAGAAAATTTTAGAAATAATTGTTTGAGAGAAAAAGTGAAAAGAAAAATGAATTAAAGTGTTCGAAAAGAGTGATTAAATTGATATAATAATACTTACCCTGCTCTTTACAGATATTTGCTCAGTTTTGCTTTTGTAAGTAAGCATCACGTGACCGCCGTGCAAGGACAAAATGAGGTGCTCCAATTTTCCCCTTCCCACCCACGCGATGAGACCGTCGGGATGTATCGTCCGTAATCGCAGCTCGAATTTATTCGATTGCTGTCCCCTGCGCCTGAATGAATACGTTTATAATAACAGCTGCCAAAGAGCTTGAGAAACACTCATGCCAATAATTCACATTACGAATTTATGTTCAGGTTTGCACGTTACGCTTAGACGGGAAATAAAAGTGAAACATTCTCTACGATTATTAGAATGACGTTCTTTGTTAATTGCGTGACGCGCTTGAGAACTGTTCATGAAAATCTCACAAGAATCTGCCCGTCTAATTGTATCTTTAGTTGCGACACTACGTTATTCTACGTTAATTACGTTCCCTATTGTATTCAAACAATCAGCTCAGTCTAGAGTGGTTGTCAGGGATGTAATTAGGAGTTGCCACACGATACTACGATACACAGGAAGATCTATCCCTCAAACGAGTACACCACAGCCATCTTTTTTTCTACTAGAAAACTTACTCCGTGTAATCGTAACTGTCGTATTCGTAGTCGACGTCCTCCTCCAAGTCGTAGTCGGAGTAGGACTCCTCAAAGTACTCGCCGAGGGTAGTGTTAGTTGAGTTAGTACTAGTTAGTGGTTACATAATCAGAAGGTTAGTGACATTAATCGTTAGCTAGGAGGCGCTAATTAGTTCTACTCTCGCTAGCGTCGACCGAGTGACGGTTACTAATTTCAAGTGCACCTAATCGAACATCCTAGAGGATGTGCCGCTGCGATCTAAAGTCATCCGGTCGTCGATTTCTTTAGGAACCCTAATCGACAATGTGTCACTCACCTCCTTCCGTAGCGGTGCTTAAACTGCAGGAAGTTGTTACCCTCGAAACGTACCGGCCGCTCTGATATCTCGGTGCCGGATACATCGTAGCCCATAACTGAAAGAAAATTTGCTCGCTTAATAACTTTTTAATTATAATACATAATTATTGATTATCAATTATTTTATTCGATTATTAATAAAAACAAATAAATCCGAAACTTCTAAGGATTGCAAGATATTTTTAGATCTCGCTATATTTCTGAAAAAAAAACGGTAAGTAAAGTTTGTACATTAAAAAGTGGTGATTCGGGAAGAAAAAGCTTACAGAATTCGCAGTGCAGGCCGTTGTAACCGCTGGCGCACTTGCAGAGATAACTATTGAGAAGTGGAAGGCAGACCCCGCCGTTGTGGCAAGGGTTGTCGTTGCTAGGACACGGCAGACCGTCGTAAATCTCCGTGTTGTGTTGAGTAATATTCAGCGCGAGGTTCTGATATGTTTTGCCGTTTACCATTAGTCTCTGCACGGCGCCTACCAATCCGGTCCAGGCTCCGGACAGACGATGAACTTCTCGCCAGTGCCTAAGAAACCGAGCGATTGTGATTATTACACTTACTGCTCTAACCGCTAAATCAGCGAGGAGAACTTTTTTCTTCGTAAAGTCAAGTGGATATTGTAACATCCGTCTGTTAGATTATTACGATACAAGATGAGTATTGCAAAATCGAGAAGCGTGAGAATAAAAATGATTAAAGATGTACAACTCGATGAAAAAAAAAACTTACTTAACGCCACCGACGTAAAGCGGCATTTCCAGATTCAATTCCGTGAGTGGACTTCCGGACAATCCCCTGGCGACGGTTCCGTCGTCGAGTTGAAGAACTCCCTCTCTGCCGAGTCTGCTGATTCTCACGCAGTGCCAGACGTCCCGGCTAATCGGATCCGGCGATGTGATGTTCGCAATGCCACTCCCGAGATTGAATCTGAATTCCAGTTTGCCGTGGACCAAGTTCAGGCTGATAAAGTCACCCCGGCCGTTGTTCAGCTGGCCATTGTAAAGCAGAAGACCGTCGTTGGCGCGCGTGAGGAACCACAACTCGATGGAGAACGCTTTCGCGACGCCCTCCAAGCAAGGCAGCTCCAAATATCCATTGCCGTTCATCTCGGGAATCAGCAATTCCGTTAGCTCGGCGTCCACTAGGGATTTGAATAACCAAAAACAATTTAAATAAGAATTCGAAACAGTTAAAAAAAAAAACAAGATTTTACTACATCGAAAGGACCCATACAGCACAGAACATTGCAATTACATTGCAGCAATGTTACAATCTTGCAAGTTGCAATGTAATATTGTTGAGACATTATTGCAACCTGTAATTGTAATATTTCATGAGAATGTGACAGCAACATTCCAGTAACATTGCAATAGCAATATTCGGTAATCGCTAGTTCGTTCGTTTACCGCTATGCAACGCGCGTTGCAAAATCTATCTCGTATTTAAGTTTTAGTCATGATGATTATATGAAACTTGCAAAGAGTGGCTAGTAAAATTAAAGACATAGTAATTGTTTTTATCAGTTTAATTTTTCTGATACGACCTCAACACAGGGAATTCAGATATTGAACTGATTGTTCAAAAATCGAACAGATAAATGTCCGAATAAATAAAAATATATGCAACATTATTCTAAGATTGCAATAACAATGCATTATTGCAAATTCATTACATTGCAATATTACTGTAATATTTCGTTACAATCTTCCTAAAAACGAACATTTTAACGTTGCTGCAATCCCACAGCAATAATGCAACAACATTTTGCAATGAATTTGCAATATTGCAACATTGCGATGAAAGATTGATGCAATGTGTATGCAATCTTTGTGTGCTGTATGGGGAGAGATCGCTGTAAGTCTCAGCAAAGACGTTTAACTTCTGGATATTCGGTAATAGTTTGCCGCCACTTACGGACTTCGCAGTGCTCGCCAGTTCTGCCCGGAGGACACTTGCAGACGTATCCGCCCTGCGGCAGGATGTCGCAGGTGGCGCCGTTCTGGCAGGGCTCCCCGATGCACGGGTCCAGCGACTCCTCGCAGTTCCTGCCGGTGAACTGCGGCGGACATATGCACCGGTAATCCGGCGGCTCGTACTTCTCCACCGCGTAATTCTCGTGGTCGTAATTGTTCTCGTACTCGAGCTCGTAATCGTAGTCGCATTTGCCGCTGACGCAGCGCTTCTTCGCGTTCTTCTTCATTCTCCTCTGGTCGATCGACGTGCAGTGGGAGCCGCGGCATCTGACGATGTTCACGCCGCCGTTGCCGCCCTTGTTGTTCCTGTTCTTGCCGCGCTTCTGTAATCTCCTGCAGTCCCGGCCGTTGCAGAGATCCTCCTCGAAGATCGGCTGGCACGTCGCGCCGTTCTGGCACGGCAGATTGGCGCACGCATTGTCGCCGCACTCCTTCACACGGTAGCTCTCGAGCACGTCCTTGTCGCGGCCCACGTGGAGATCCACGTTGATCCGATTGATCTTCAGCTTGCGTATGCAGCCGAGGAATCCGTGATTCGTGCCGATGTTGTCGTAAACTCTGTTGAAAAATTCGTGATGTGATAAAAAAAAAACGTCGTGTTTTTAAGAGTCAAATGAAAGTTTAACGCGGCATTCGCGAAAATATAATACTTCGTGTAATTGGTCGGCATGTTCCCGATGAAGGTGTCCTGATTCAAATCCAAGGATTTCAGCATCCCCTGACTCTGCCCGGCCACGTCTTCTCCGTCATTGAAGATCAGGACTCCATCCTTGTGATATCTCTTAGCCGCCACTCGATGGAAGGTTTTCATAGTCACCCTTTCCGGCGACATGAGTAGCACAGGTCCGTTTCCCAAGTTATATCGGAATTGCACGTATCTGAGACACGCGATCAATCGCAAGTTTTACAGATTAGACGCATTAATTCCGAATGTATTTAACGAAAAGCTTCTATTCAACATTTTTGCCAATATAGAAAATAATTACACACAGAAAAATACATACTGCATTTAAGTGAATATTACTTGTTTCAAGTATTTTATGAGTTCATATATCCGCAGATCTATCGTAAGTTCATCATAAGCATCAAATTTATTCAAAATATATTTTGATCCCAGTAAGTTTAATACTTCAAGAATATTAAATTGAAAAAAGAATTCTATTTGCTTATCAAATTAACCAAATCTGACTTTTCTTCGATACAGTTTTATAACATTCTTCGTCAACAAACAATTACTTCTTTCGAGTATATGATAATGAGTTTATCAAAAATTTGTGATGAGTATATTTTAAGATTATTATCAAGAAAATATTCTTTATTAAAAATAATTGTTCCTTAAAAAAAGAAAAGTAAGCCGAGTAATTACTTTTCTTAGCAATAGAATGATATTTTTCTGCGTGTAGATAGAATATTATCTTGTACTCTTCTCTAAATTAAATTACGCGGTGCAAAGAAGCTGCAAGCATTGATTATCGGCGATCTTTAAACAGTGCGTTTTGGATAATGAGAAATCGTCACGGCGAAGATACCGACCCGTCGACAATGGCCAGCGAAACAAAGTCGCCGGTGCCGTCGCTCTTCTGCTGATTGTACAGTATGATTCCGTTGTCGGCGTAAGTTTTGAATTCAACCTCGATGCTGAATTTATGATACGCTTTCAGCCGGTTCATCCTGACGTAGCTTTTGCCGTCAAAGGAGGGTATCTCGTAATCCCGCTTGTTGATCTCCTCGTCGCACAGCAGCCCGGTGTAATTCGGCCGGCAGATACAGACGAAAGTTGCGCTGGGCAAGTCGATACACGTCGAAGTCATGTGACAGGGATACGAGAGGCACGCGCGAAATTCCTCGGTCGGCGTCACTGGCACATAGTTGGCTGACGGGGGGCAAAGAATTGTACAAATCTTTTTAAAATAAATATTCATCGCATTATTTATGGTTAATTTGAAGTGGACATTGTTTTGAAAGAAATATTAATACGAAATTTAATCTCTGGAAATATTTGATAGACGATGAAAATAATAATCCGGCGTGTATAATTCCTATTTTATCGTACCGAAGCACTCCTGTCGGTCGCTGGTTTCTGCATAGCCCTCGGTACAGACACATCCGCCGTTTGAACATTCGCTATTGAGTATTGTGCAATCCTTGTCGTCGGTGCAAAGATCACCCAGGAGAGCTGCGACCACTCGAATCGTCGCTGGTGTTGCCCGAGCTGCAGCTATTCCTGTAAGAGATAATCTCTCCGTTATCTACGTACAAACATACTTCAAAAGTTAACATCAAGTATATCGTAATCAATTTTTGTTTGTTGGGAAAACAGTTGAGAGAGAGAGATTATATATATAAAAAAAACATTTTAATTCAAAAGTTAAACATTATTTTAACATAATTTTATGAAAAAATAAAATTTGTGTATGAAATATTATGTTAAATCGATGCCGAGCAAATGTACGGCGGCTGTTGAATTGTTTAATGTTAATTTAGAATTAGACAAATTTACACAATTTTGTTACTGAATATTACATACTTTGCTTCAAGCAATTTTAGTCAATCAAGTTATTTTTATACACTATGTTATAAGCGATTTAATTATGTTAATCTACAATTAACGGAGTAAATCGACAATACAGTTAATATACATGTTATTATATTACAAATTTCTAGTTAATTATCAATTGTTTTAACAGAGTGAACAGTTTTATATTTCAAAATTGTATAAAATCCCCAACAAAAGCCGCAGGTTTAGAAAGTTAGCAGCGCCTTTTTTAAAATGTATTAAAAAATTGTTTACTGTTTTACGTAACTTTTTCCATTTTATTCGATAAAAAAAGTACATTGTTGAAAAATCTAGCCTACAAAAAGTTCAGAAGGGGATGTATTTTACCATGTTTTAAATGATCTCTGTCGATGGTGATGGTTTCTTGATGATCTCGATGGGTGTAATAATACCGTGGGTCCGGCTCTGGTACCAAGAGATGACGCGTGGATTTCGACAACGGAGAAATAGCGGCCGCTGGTTGAGTGTACTGTACAGCCGTATATCTCTTAACGGGGAAGTCCGTGTTAACCATGGGATCGTCTGAAAATGATTCGGAAATCCCGGTTTTGCTATTATCTTCCCTCATCGCGCTATCCGCCGGACTTTCAATTCAATCAAGGCTTGTGATCGAGAGGCTTCGTCGCGAGAATTGTTTAATAAAAATATGTAAGCAAATTTTTATCTCAATGTAGTCTCTCTATTTTTTATAGCATTAAAATTGATAAAAAGTTGAGTTCCGAAATGCATATTTAGAGAAATTTAAGAAACGTTTTCATTTATGTACTATATTATATTATTAAAATAATATCCGGAAAAAAAGATTAAATTTTTAGCGTGAAAATAAAAAATGCTATATTATAATAACAAATATACTTTTAACAACTGGCAAGCGGTTAAAAAATCGGCCACGAGCCCTGATTTTAATCAGTTTCTGTAAAGATCTTTTCAGTGGCATATAATATTACATACGATAACATTAATAACCGAACAGGATTCGCATTTTGTCACTACGTATGTGTGCGTGTGATGAAATTTCATTATAAAATTATTAATTTTCCCTCATTAAAAGTCATAACGATGTTGACGCATATTATATGTGTATGATGAAGAGAAATTTTTCCTCCTCTTGAATTTTCGTTAATTAATTTTGAAATGTGGTTCTTGTTCAAAGAGACAAAAAGGCACAATTGGAAAAATAATTGATTTATTCTACTTTTGAAAATTAATAAAAATTTTGCGGGAGGCGCTCTGTTCTAACGCACGGCATTATAGAGAAAGTTGCGCGCTCTTTGATAAAATATTTTCTCTATACAGAGGCTTTGTACATACTTTGTATATATTTTCTGTATACGAAGTGAGTGGAGAATAAAAGAGATATTTATTTTAAATTAAATTACAAATTTTTCTTTATATTTGAATAATTATCGCAAATCAATTTACATTTATACTCTCGTAATTTAAAACATCCCATATTTGAGACTACTTTTTAATTTTAAATAATATTTACGATGTTAAAACAATATAAACAATGTTTACGATGTACAATATATGTGCAATATTACTTTTATTAAAATTAATATTTATATAGTAATAATTTTTGACAAAAATGTTATGAAAATCTTCTGAACAAATTTTCTAAAAAAAAAAACATTTTTGAATTTTTGAGCAAAATTGTTGCTTCACGATTGTATTTCGTGTTTTTGAAAAATCTCAGTAGAACAAATAAAAGTCATCAATCGTTCAGTGAGCCTTTTATAGTGATTTAAGTTGGATGAAAACCACGTTTAAAGGCTCTAACAAAAACTCGAGTTGTTGAGAACCGTTTCAGGAGTTTCCCTTAATCTCTCCTGACTGCTCCGTATCTTTCTGCTTCCTTTTTTTCTTTTTATTATCTCCGTGAATTCCGGTTTAAAAAATACCATTCTTCATATCAAGATGAATAAATACAATCCGTTATCTTCTAACTTTAATCTGAAAAATTCTTTACTTTCTCTTTGCAAAGAAATCTCTCATGAGTTTTACGACAATTTTGAATTAAATTGCAAGAGATTAATGCAAAAAATCTCCTATTTCGATTAACTTAAAGTATTGAAATCTAAAATGCAGTTCAAACTTTGTCCACTTCATTTTCTATCTTCATTTCAGATTAGATAAATGGCGCTTCTCAATTACGATAACTCCATGCATCACAATAGGACATTCAATCCTACTGTATTAAACAAATTATAACTTATATATTTCTCCTACTTCGTTCTCATTCGTACGAAAAGGATTCGCGTCGCGCGGACGTCTGAACGTCCGAAGAAGAACGGCGTGACGACGGTGCGTCGGAGTTCCTCTAAATAATGAAAATCGAAAAGCTAATTCTATCGACTCGGAGTAACGCGAAACTGTTAACAGGAGTCGGAGCGGTCTTGATGGGATTTTAATTACTTTCCAATTGCCGCGTTGCTTCCTATTACTGCCCGTCGAGGACTTCCGCTATTTTTTTCTCGACAATCGTCCGCTACTCATCCCCCCCCCCTCCAACTCTCTCTCACCCTCCTTTGCTTTCAAATCCGCTTGCTGCCGAACGCACGATCTCACGTTTATTTGTCTGCGTATAATATAATCGATTCGTTTATTTATTTCCGACGGTGAGAATGAACTTTTCCTCACTATTGCGTGCTGTCGCTACTGCAAATATCTCTGACTTTTCTCCGCCCTGAGCTGCTTCAGTTCCATTTAAGGAATGAAGATCCCGAGCGATCGGATGCGCGGAAATACAATCCGACATTTTACGATCGGCGAATCTCTTCCACTCTCTCGCCGATAGATATTTTTATCAGACTTAAAGCGCGTTTGTACGGCTCGTGAAATACATTGATCGACGTCGCTTCGTGATGCATGTTGCGCTCCGCCAGCTACAAATGTAACAGAGAATTGATCGGCCGGTACCAATTTCCGATTGAGGAACTTTTCATTTACGTTATATAAAACACTCTGCGGAGAATCAGCGACTTCTAGCGGCTAAAATTTTTCCAATCAAACGAAACGAGCGTTGCGCCCTAACTTTTTATTAATAAATTTTCATTAGTCGGAAAAAATTTGAAGACTAGAATCGATCAAGCACGAACTAATTCAAGTTTCCGCACCTACAGCACATCGATGTTAACTCTATATATATATATGTATTGATTTATCGCTTCCCCCGCCAGTTAATTTAAAGACGCCGTCTTTGACGACGTCTCGAACATTCTCGCAATGAAGAAATAAACGTCGATCGTGTCCGTGATCGAGCTCGCCGGCGCGCGACCCCGATATCATCGCCCCCTCGCCGGTAACCCAATCATTATAACTCGCGCTTGCGTCACGCTTGCAGGACGCTCGGGCCGTCCGGCGACCAATCGCCCGTCTGAGAGAATCCTCCGGAGACATCCTCCCGCGACACGGCATTCCTTTCTCCTCGGCAAGCCGAGGAGCGGACCGTCGCGAGAAATTACGGCATGCATTATTTACAGGCTCCAAAGTGCCGGCGCCCACATCGTCCTGTCATTTCTCCCTCGCCTATCGCCGTTCCACCACCTCGATCCCTTTCGATGCGGTCGAAAGGGATGGAAAAAAGAGAGAAAGAAAAAAAAAGAGTACATCGAGAGGACAAGGACTTCCGCCGACCTTCCGACGAAGTCGGCGTACACTCGATGAAACTGCCCGGAGAGCGAAGGAGAGTGCGAGAGAAACGGCGAGAGGCGGATCGAAGAAGCAAAGAGAGAGAGAGAGAGAGAGAGAGAGAGTCCGCGAGGACGGTGTAATCTGATTTATGTTTGACTCCGGAGGACGAGCGCCCCGAAGAAGAACTTTTTAAGAGATTGACTTCCAGCGAGAAAGCCAGACGCGGGACCCGGTTAAAAGTCAGCGCGGGGGCGGGGGGGGTGGATGGGACGGGGCTGAGCAATCGAAAATAAGGGGTCGAGGTTGGCGGGGCGAACGGGAGACTTTAATAGATTCCGACGTTTCGCTCCGCGAACTTCGTCAGAGGCTCGGAATATCTTGAGGGGGCGCGAGCGAAGAGATGAGCGCGGAGGATCTCTCTCTCTCTCTTTTTTTTTTGTGATACTTTTTGCACGGTTTATCACGCGGGTTAAATTCGTCGGTCTGATTGAGTCCGGGCTCCGAATTTAATGCCGGGAATAATCAACAGTTGGCGAAATTGGATCGCGATCGCAGGCCGTTTTAAAGTTGTTTTGTAATTAATTGGAAAACTCCCGCTAATGACGCGTGCGCTCGCTATATCCATCGCAAAGATGAACGACTGATCGTGTAGCGGCGATCGCACGGAAAAGTTGAAGCAATCCGCATCATTTCGTGGCTTGGAAAATAAAAAAGAATAATACAGTCGGAGCGGAATAGTTTATTCTACGTTCTAATATCGCTAACAAAGAATCCTTCGCTGTTAAATGAAAAAGGGTTTCTTTATAAAAATATTATAATTTATAATCTTTTGAAGAAAAGAAAGAGATAATGTTGCTCGAGGAATCCTCTGCGTTTGCGCCGATAAAACCGTCGCGATCGGTAGTTTCGGAACGTAATTTTGTCGTAAAGTATCTCCTCGCGGAGTAAAAGAGGTTATGCGAGTCGCACGGGGTTAATGCTCGTGGCTGGACCGCTGGACTGCCAGTTACCGTTTCTGGATGTCGGTTCTTCTCTGGACACGTCCCACGGGCGCCACTTAAGACGAGATCATGCTGGAAGCCCGCGGTGATTTAGTTAGAGCCATCTTCGACCTTCGCTCAGTTTCGCGAGTTAACGTTCGCCAACTTTCTTTACGTGGGCGCGCAGCGGTCGATTCCTCTCCGGAGTTGCTTTATAACGTGACGATTAAGCGGATCTATCAGCATTCCAACCAAATCTCCATACTTTTCTCGCGAAAATAATGCACAGTCGTTGAGCAATTTGAGAGAAACGAATGTTGGATGTAACGCGCGCTAAATATACGAGTGCATAAATATTAATCTACAAACATAAACATAATTGTGGATTACTGTTGTGCGAAATAATTTTGCACGCTATACGAAACAAAAGTAGATAGTTAATTTGAATTTAATTTTTAATCAACTTTACACAATTTGACTGCTTTCGCGTTCCATCACTTGCGATCTCTTGCATGTGGATTTTTTATTCAAAAACGTCAGCGAGTTATGCCGACAAATAGTGACGATTGCGGTGATCATGATATTAATACTTTTTGCTATCTTTTAAATTTCTGTCGAGATTTCAGTGTAAAACTTGTTGTCAACTTCAAGTCTGCGAATTCTACTTACTTTGCTTCCTTCGTTCCTTGGTTTGGCTTCCTTAGCTCGATTAGTTAGTGAATGGATTAAATTTTCCGCGTATTCGTGTATTAATCACAAATGTTATTTACAAAAAAACGTTGAAGATGTGCGGCTGATTAAGAAAGCAAGCAGAGTAGCTTCCGGTTACGGGTGCGGGGGTTATACAAACATATATATACATGTCAGTAGGAACTTGACGAGTTTATTATCAAGTTTGGATACAAAGTGGGCTAAGTCTATTAGGACAAGAGCTGGGTATTTTCGTAATCGGGCTTTTCCACGGAGAGAGAATTCACTAACGCTTTCAACTTGTCTCTATTTTGTTTCTCAGCTTTCCTTTCTATGCAATGCCCTATTTACGTAATCTATATTATTCATAAACCGATGTCACAGAGTGCGCGGTCGTCCGATTGCTCCATTTATTAAGCTGTAATCCTCCCGACGGGATTTCGACGATAACAATTATTTACAGTTGCACATCGCTTTCTCGCAGAAATCTAGCATTTGCGGACAGCGTCGATATTTCGAGAGCCGTCTCGGTTACTTAAATTTTCTTCAGCAATTTACAAAAAAACAATGAATCGCCAAATCACAGACAGGGTTAATTCGGGCTGTCAGAGCAGCTCAGTCTACACAACCCGGCGATCTATTATTTCGTATGCACTTAGAGATAAATTATGCGCTTCGTAAAGGTGTTATCATTGCATAACTTCTCTCAAAATCCTACCACCGACACGTTTCTCTCTGTTAACATCGTTCACAATATTTCTTACTACAAGTTACGAGTTATCGAGCTTCTCGATTTTGCCTACGAGCTAGCTACCAACGTTCATTCGCAGCTCCTTCGCTAAAGTGTGCAAAATTCGTCTACTCGTTACAAGCGCCGCGCTGCGTACGCGATGTTCTCGGGGCTGCGTGTGACGCGCTTTCTTTCAGTAGCGTAGGACGAAAAGCGACCTGTTCGGCGGAGTACGTTCAGTGAACCCACCTCTGCAATGGCCGAAGGCCTGCGTGACCACGTCGGCCTGATGGCGGCACGCGTAGAGCCGCAGCTCGCACTCGTTGTCGTAGGTCTGCCCGTCGCTGCCGCACACCGGCACGGACGATACGTCCGCCGGGCAGGAGGACGGACAGACGCAGTGCGCGCCGCCGATCTCCGAACACTGACCGCCCGAGTAGCATTCCAGCTCGTTACAGGACGTCGGTATCGGTGGTATCGTATCGGCTGCGGAGCAAAGCGGATTAACGCCGCGTTAATAAAATTACAATCCCATCGCGTGGCTGGACGACGCGACACGCCAGGGGACACCGCCAAGTTCTCAACAGGTTTGAACATTGTTACGACATTGCGACGTGTCGGAGAGGTAATATCGATAATTGATTGTAAGATAAATGAGGTGGATTGTCTGAAAAGATTAATGAATAAATCCGCCTCATCGTTTCCGCGACGGTTTTTCAGGGCTGTAATTATGTTTTGGACACCGATCGGTATTTCATTTGTCGTAATAAAGTTAGGCAATCATCTCTTTACGTAATACCTGCGTAACATCCGGTGGGCGTGAGTATCTTGTTATGGTCATTGCAGATAGTGCACTTTTGTCCCTGAATATCCGGCTTGCAGACGCAACGTCCTGTCATCTGTTCGCAGTCCTCCCTGACGGAGCCGAATAGCGAGCAACCGCATGCTAAATTCGGACAGAAAAGGTGATTTATATTCACGTGTGACAAGTAATTAGAGGATTGCATTGTCAAACACAATTAATTATCACCCCAAGCGGCGTCTTCACTTATGTATAAAAAAATAGTCATTTCGTTTCATCGCGAGCGATTGTATGTCAACGGTTGAAGAAAAAGACGTATTTATTTTGGAAAATAAGCGTTTTCAGGACGCTCTAATTGAAGCGAAAAGAAAGACACGTTAAACCAACGAGCTTATGTTTGACGGCTGCAAGAATCGCGATACATTTTCCACATTTGTTTTGCTTCATTAATAAGTACGCTAAGTAAAATTCTCTTCGCCGAGCACTGATTCCGAGCTTACGTATGCATCCCGGATGACCCTCGCTAATCTTCGGCAATCCCCAGTAACCCGGCATACACCTATCGCACTTGAGACCACCTACGCCCGGCTTGCATTCGCATTGACCGGTTTCCGGGTTGCAGGTGTCGGATACGCTGCCGAGTCTATTGCAGTTGCAGAAACTCGGACAGCCCGCGCCGTCCGGGCCGAGCGCGGCGGTCTTCCCGTCCGGACAACAGCCGTGCCACGAGTCCGCACATTTCACCACCTGGATGCCTTGAACTGGAACAGCACGCAATTCTCACAATCCTTTAATGGAACTTTCTCGCGGACAAGCGAGCTCTGCGCTTCTCGAAAATGTGAAATTTAATATAAATGAAAATTCGAAAAACCGACACGAGCTACCTGCAGTTAACGTAAATTGATACTTTTCGATATATTAGTGATTGACGGACGGTCGATCTGAACCGATTAAAGGTTTGATCGCGCTGACCTTTTTTACAGCAACGAGCGAATCGCGTCGTCTGGTGGCAATAAGTATTGCTGGGGCAGTCTCTGCGTTCCGGTCCGCTGCCACAATCGTACTCTTTGCCCTCGGAGTCCACTATTGGAGGATCGCCGTTGCATGGTTTGACTTCCATGCCTGTACAAACGTTATCGTATGCGTTAGAAAGTTGTCGATTTAAAAAATTTTTTTCGATAAATAAACAGACGTCTCTTAAATTTGACTTGACAAATTATTGTGTATCTGAAAAAAAAAAATTAACTATGTCGCAAGAGGCCAATTTTCCTTGAGCGAGTTCAAAGAATTTGCGCATTAACGAAACTTAATTTACTATTTGTTAGTGAAAGCGTGGGAAGAGTCGATTGTTAAGTGTCGCAAGCGTTGAAAGATATCTTTTTTCCCGGAAGCAAATTTCGTTAATCTGCCGTCGCTCTTCAATCAACCTTGGCAAAGATCGAGGGGTCTCAGCCGTAGCTCCTGCTGCCGCTGGCAGGCCTCCATCTTCATGGCGCAGAGAGAGGAGTAGGTCCTGAGATCGCTGCCGCAGACTGGCCGCATGTTCTCCTGCGAGATGGACGCGCAGTCGAATCGGCAGCTGCACCTGGGAAACTTGTCCGGGCCGAGCTCGCAGGTCGCCTCGAAGTCGCAGTGGATGTCCTTGCAGGCCTCGCGCTCCTGCGTGCTGGTTATGTCGGCGATGGTGGTGGCCACGCGAGTCGCTGCCGGCGTCGACTTGGTCGCTGTTAGAAGCGGTCGGAGAGCGGTGGTTAGAGCGGTTTGTCGCGTCGTTAGAGAGCGTTTAGCAACCAAATCGCTGGTGACATGCGGTTAACGCGTTTCAGGCATTAAGTAATCTCGGGCGCCGTAATAAGCGTCTCGCACGCTGATAGCGATTGTTTCGTGCAAACTATTTTCAATTACGCGCCATCGTCTTACTGTGCGCGAACGGCAACTTCTCGAGATTACGGAGGGGGCATGTATGAAACGTCTCAAGTTCTACGGAACTTCATAAACGTGCCTCGCGCCTCAAGCGTTGCGCTCAAAGGGGGTTGCGGCTCGTGTCGCGTCAGACACGTCGAATGCATGAGCGCGTTGTCAAATCGCAATATGGCTTTCGCAAGATGCTCTAAATATTTTCAAGCGTCAAGCGCGTCGGTCGCTTACGGCTGATTTTGAATCTCGACATCGGAGATTTGATATTCAAATCATGCTCTGCTCGTTGCTATAAAAAATCTATCCCGACACATTTTATTAACACGCTTCCATCAGCGACACGGTTGAAAGTTAATTGCGATTTTCACGAACTCGGCGGAGGATTCGCGCGCACAGCAACAACAAGAACAAGTAATAAAATTTTCGAAAACATACTCAACGACGCCAAATGCTCGCTGCAGTCTCCGTAAAATGTGACGTACAACGTCGGCAACTTGGGCTCTCTGCCGCAAGCTGCTCGCTGCAGTTCACACTCAGATGGGTAAGTTTTCGCGTCGCTACCGCAAACGAGCTCGCCGCTGCTCTCCGGACAGACTTCCGGGCACACGCATACACCTGCCACACAATGCGCGCCGTGCTCGCATTTCATCTTCGCGCACAGCTCTGGAAAACGTTCAATTTTCTTTTCTCACCTGGCTCGCAGTACGTAGATTATTATCATAGAGACGTCTAGATTTGGATAATTCAACGAAATGTTTAACAAAGCCTGGCGGCTTTACAAAAAAAAAAAAAAGTATTATTTCAAAAAGTATTAATTTACTTTTTTTTTTTGCGGAAAAATAATGTTTCTCTTTTTCGCGGAGTGGAAAGGAGTGGGAAAGATCGCTACATTTAATCGTAAATATTATACATCCAAGCTTATTACATTATGTAGCACATTTACATGACAATATATGTTACTTACCGCAGTCGCCAACATAGCTGATGTTGATAAGAGTTTGGCTGGTGCACGACGCCCTTTTCAAGGCGCATTCATCTTCATAGGTTACTTTATTGGATCCGCAAACTTCCTTTGCTTCAGCCGGTTCTTTCACCTGCGCATAATTATTATTAGTTGTGACAATGATTAATTAAGAAGAAAATCACAAATCCAACATTTAATCATTTTAACGTAAAATCTTTGCTTCATTTTACCACTTCAATCGTCAAACATGAGATAGGTGATATATTTTAAATAGAAACATGTGTCATTTATTCTACATCTTTTCCATTTCCATTCGCTTTTCGAAACAAAAAATTCTGGAAAAAAAAGCGAGAGCGCATGGTTGCGGCAAAAGAAAGTGTGAAAAAAAGGCAAAGAAAAGATATGAAATTAAAAGTCAAAAGTAGAAGAGGAAGACATGTCCTGCATGTCTCACTTGTTGCGCGCAACAGAGGTGCAAGGAATGCATGGACTGTGCATTTGACGGACAGCGACGCGGGACTGCAGGACAACCAGGGAGGATGTGGGAGGATGAGGGTGACGCGGCGCAATAACACAGGAAAGAGCGAAACTTAATTAGCTCGGCCATCATATTCACGGCTCCTCTTGTTTGCTTATTACGCCCGTGCTTCATACACTCGCCGCCCGTCGCCGGTCGCCGCATCGACAAGTCGATCGCTTAACAACGGAAATGAATTACGCGACGAAAATTGGGGACGGCTCTGTTTCCTCGCGAAACGTATAACGCGCCCGCTCGATTGCTAAGCAATCTCCTAATTTTAAGTCAACGAACGAATACGCAAAACTGCAAATATAATTGGCGACTATTGATTATTTAATTAGCGGACAACGAGTTGGCAGTTGTATTTAAAATATAATTAATATGCGAGTGGTACAATGAATTATTCGACGGTAACAATTACGAATGTAATTAATAATTTATGTAAGTAATTTGCATCTTCTGCCGGGGCACCCGATGTAATATGATTATGCAAATAGATGTACGCGCGCGCTAGCGCAGGGAAAAGCCTCATTTGATCTAATTGGAATTCGAGGGAAAGCTATCCGCGTGCGCGCGGATGGCTGCGGGTCGTTTCGACGAGAAAGACGATAGTTATTATTACGATCGTTCAAAACAGAGGCGTATCCGGCGTATGCGGGCTGCGGTGAAGCTTTCGCATGAGAAGGAGGGAGAGGGAGACGTCCGTATGATTTAATTACCTCCCTGTTAAGTTTAATTGACGCCAGTCAGTTCATTTTCTGAGATAATCCGCGCGGGCCCGCGTGGCTCGTGTTTCACCAAGAGGATTATTGCATGCAAACGCGCCCATCGCGCATGTTTTCTGCGCACAACGCTCTGTCTTGAATTGAGGATAAAGCCGTCTCACTTGACATCCGAACGGCGAAGTCATCGACTCAATTTCAAATGCATCTGTCGCGATGATTCTCTCTCGCGTTGTAGATAAAATTGAGAAAGCATCGGTTTATAATAAAATTTTCAGTTCAATCTACATTTATTAATCTACTTTGCGTAAAAATTGCGAAAAATTAATTATTAATTTTAAATTATATTTTGTAACGAATTTCTCGACGCGATAAAAATCGCGTGGCGCGTACATCAGAGATTTAACGCGAGTTCGAATAATTAGTAGCGATTTAATCGATCGCTCCGGTCGAGTAAATTGATGTCGTCGCATTATCCATCTGATGCACGTTTCAGAATTCCCATTGCCGATAGAGAGCGAGAGAGAAAGAGAGAAAGATCCTTATCGTTGGCTTACTGATACCATTCGATAAGCATCCGTGACCGACGGACGAACTTCTTTTCGTCCTCTCGTTCTTCCGGAAGGATACCGCGAAAGTCGTCCGCAAGACTTCGACGAAACCTGCCAACCTAATCCCTTTCTCAACTCTTTCTCTAACGTTGAACGCATCCCTTATTCCTCCCCGGCTCCGTTCACGGATCCCGCCGGAAGAAACTACGCCGTAGGAATTCGGAATTGTTCGTCGTTTCGTCAGCAGGACGTTCCGCGAATCGTGAAATCCGAGCCACTTCGCCTATCTCCGGCGGGATCGGCTGAATTTTCCGCGGTGTACCCGCGCTATCTTGATGAACCGGCATGCTTTCCATTCTGAATGCGTGACGGGAAAAAGCGAGAGAAACTGTAATATCCGCGCGCAAACCGGATATGAAAAATTATTTATCGGAAATCGATCCGAAATAGGCAAATAAATCCGCAGGAATTGAAGTTTCGCGGAAGCGAATCGAGTTTAATGTATCGGCGTGCATCAAATCGTTATCGTTAAACATTTATTGGCGGAAGTAATACGAGAATGATTTTCGAAAATTGCAAGTAAATAAACCCGAAAACGGATTCATTGCAAATTTAATCATCGAAATCGTTTTATTACGCATTCCGCGGTCCCGCATTTACGATTTTTTAATGCTAATTACATCAATTTTTATAATGGCCTGTTCATCTTGCGCGTATTGCGAAGATAAATGGCGGTGACTTGTCATAATTTACTTAGGATTCTGCCGTTGAATAGCACGCGCCGGGCGAGAGAGAGAGAGAAAGAGAGAGAGAAGCGCGTCGGACCACGCCCGGCGGAAGCTACGAATGCACGAACAAAATGTTAATTAAAATTTTTTCATGCGCTCATTCGTTCAACGGGGACGAGCTGTCGCGTCACCCGGCACCTTGAAACATTGCGCTCCCATTGAAATTTTCGACATTTCGCGGCGGAGCCACGAACTATTGTCGGTTGTCTAATGAAACATGAAAACGCCATTCATTCCGCGGAAGAAGGATATAATAAACCGACCAGCGCCGCGAAACGCCGCGCTGATGGAAAGTCCTGAAAATGGCGCATGCAAATGCGTCAATCCTCTTTGCTTTTACCCCTCCCCCCCTCCCCCCTCAACCCCACCACCACCCCCCTTCCCATTACGTTCCTAACGAAGCGACTTCCCGCCACCGCGGCGCGTAACACTGAACGGTCTTGGAGAAACGCTGAAATTTCGCTAGTCGAAAATGCATGTGCGGGCGTACGCGGTTGTATCGAGCGGGACATTCATCGTGGCGTGAATATTTTATGCCGATTACGCTAACGAGCGAATCTTAGAGCGGCGAAAATAATGACGAAGAAACTGCAACGCGCGACGGCGTCCATTTCAACAGAAAAATTACGCGATCTCGGCTAATTATATTGACGCAGAGTTAAATTATATATATTGATCTAATCAATGCGACTTTACTAGATTTAAACGTTGTTATTTCTGTTGGATTGCTAAAAATTAGACGACACATATATTTACTTGTAATTTTACTTATATGTAACACATATATCCGTTTGACGTGCCCATTTCGCGCGTACGCAATCATTTATATTGTTCTTTATCAAATAACTGCAGGATATTTTTCGGGGTTTAAAGTATTTGCGAAAACATCATTAATTGCAGCAATTAATTTCAACATAAAATACAGCGTAAAAATATTTAGTGCGCGGGCAGTTTTCTGAGTTGAAACAAAAATTAATCCGACATTTATTTAAAAGAATTATTACATGCCAAGTGCGTGTAATATGCGCAGTAATTTATTGAATTTGAAATTTCGAGCTATGCGGCTGTCAACCTTGGACTGAGAGCCATTTCTCTCGCAAAGCGGCACTGCATTTTCACAGAAATACAAACAAGACAGGCACGACGTGTATAAAATTTAGGTGATCGAAATGGTGCGAATGTAAATGACAATTTTGAATGAATCAAACGACCTGAACATTCGATTTAATATTCTATAATGCGCGTCACACGCTCTCTTGGCATGCTTATTAGTCGAGCTATTTGTTAAAGGCAGCATGTGTAGCGTTTGGTTTAAGTTGTTAATGTGCGATGCAAAAAAGAAATATATAAAAATATATAAAAGTGAAAAAAAATGCAGATATCGTTATCCTCAATTTGTTAGTCAAAACTGTGAAATATGCAGGAAATTCTGTGTAAGAAAATTTGAAAGTAATTCATGCAACATCTGTACGCGCATAATTGTGTAATTTTAAGTAAAGATTACGCATTTCTTCCAAACTTACGGAATTCTCGCATTTCGGACACACGCACTTGGCTTCCCCGGCGCTGTCGCTCTCGCACTTGCTGTAAAACTCGCACTTCTTGCTCTCGCAGCCATCTGTGAACAGATCGATAATGATTAAAAATTTGCATTCGCATTACGCCGGTTCCGTGCGCGCTCAATGCAGAATCGACCGACGCATGCCTTCATTTTCATATCACTCGCGCCACTAATCACACGCCGCTCCTTGACCGCCCGAGGACTAACATTAATAAAGATTCCTGCAGGTATTTGCATAACGGCGTCCGTTTCGAATGCAATTTTCACGGCGGAGGGTGGAAGCGGCGACGGGGGGGAGGAAAGAGGAAACGGGTCGAGACAAAGAGTGGTACCGAAATGCGAGTAACAGAAATCGGAGGTAGGTGGAAAGAGAGTGGAAAGAGCGATGGCGGCCTGGCAGTCGCAAAGTTATCTTAGAATTCATTGAAATCCACGATGGATGTGAAGGAAGAGAGAGAGAGAGAGAGAGAGAGAACGGAGAAGGATACGAGAGAGAGAGAGACTCACCCCGTCGACGTGTCGATGACGCTCGGTTTTCTCCGAGTTTTCCGGCGCGGTTGAAAGCGGGGCAAGAATCGTCGCACGAAGCGTGACTGCGGACAGGACGGGAGGACGGGAGGAATGAGAGGATTGCGCAAGGAAGCGCATGCATATGCAGCGTGCATGCCGCGGGGTAACAACTCATACGATTTCAGGGTGCAGCGGCCGACGCCGCGAAACCGCCGCGGCCGATGCACGAAACCGAATTCCACGGCACGTTCCGCTCGATTTCCAGCGCGGGTCCGAGCGATAATGAAAATTGTCGCCCCCGCGATTCCATCGCTATTGCGAAAACCGATCGTGCGACGAATACTGTAAAGTATTGTGCAGCGTCTGAGAATATAGAAGAATCGTGCGCTAAAATATGATTGTCAAGAGTTCACTGCGTCTGAAATTGATAATTGAAACGAAACTGTCGGTAAAACCCGATCTCTTCTCTCTCCCCTCCCCCGTTTTTATGATTCCGTATTCGTGGGCCGCCCGATATTAAAAGCAATCCAATCTTTCCGACGCCGTTCGCCGGATACGTGTGTTATGAGGAAAGTTCGGTAAACCTCGGCACAGGTAGTACCGCGTCGTAGGCACCTCCGGTGAATCACCGGAGGTGTCTGCCTCTCATCGCGTCTGCCAGCATCCCGTTTCATCAGATTTTTGTGATGGAAATTACTGTTTGTGTTTAGACTAAACTTCTCACGAGCACCGCGATTTTATATTCCCGGGGCCTTAAAGCACCGGTCGGCGGCGGAGAGGGGGGGGAGGGGGGGAGGAGGGTTTGATAGAATCGCTGTTTGAACGTATCGCTCGCCAGCGGGCTTTTGATAAATCTACCGTCTGATAGCGGACGCGCTTGTCCGCGCTATGTTGACAAGTGGAACTTTTTAATAAAGATGCAAATCGGAAATGTTACAATTTATTCCCGCGCGCCAGGCCACAAGACGCGACCGCGAGTACGAGATATGTCTGGAAAGTTTGCAGATCGATCCTCCTAACGATCTGGCTTGCGGATATTTGATGACGGCGATAGCTACTTACGTAATTTTACATCGTTTTTTTTTTCACGCTCGCGATAATAAATTGTACAACACTTGTCGATGTACCGTATTCGCCTACTAAATTATATCGGCGAATTAAAATATGTGAACAATCTTGGATCTCGTAGTTGCGATGTAATATTCATTTCCTAAAGCTGCGATAGTAATTTTGAGCACTAATTTTAGAACACTTTGCGCAGTTTATTTGTCTGAGACTACGTGCAATTATTGAGAAATGCACGAGTGTGTAGATTTGCATAAGAAATGAACAATGTCAGGCGTTATCACGCCATCGTTGCCGCGAGGCAACGTCGAGTTGTGCGTTTGTTTCGCGCTGGAAAGTGCTTTATTCGCGAATGATTTCCATAAAGACGGATGAAAAGATGAAGCCGAGGGGAGGAAAGTAGGAGCGTTCTCCCTCCCTCTCTCGTTTAATTCCAGCGATACTCTCGCTTTCAGAAAAGTGGAGCGGTTATTAACAGAAGCTCAACGAAACGCTATTGTAATATTCAATGGTGTAATATTTAACGTTTAACTAACATCGAGCATAAAATAAAATTATATTACACATTTTGCAGATTTATCTCGCAGAGGTAAATGTTTCTTTCGAGACGTACAATACAATTTTAGTACAAAAGAATAATATTTAATTTCTCGCATCCGACAAGTCGCGATGGGAAAGAGTCGCCCGTAATCGTAATCCGGAATCGCATGTTTTATCAGAAAATTTGCCGAACGAAAGCGCGGATCGAAAGGCGATCGGAGCCGCGATATTCATCGAATGTTAAGAAAAGACGCACAGGACGGAAAATCGCGCAGGAATCCGCGTCTCCCTTTCAGACGACGATCCCGATAGTAGCTCGTTCTAGAATATCGAAGGGTGGAGGGGTGGATTAATAAGAATGAAATTGCAGGGTAGGGGCCAGTGTCGTAAAGTGCATGGTCGATGAAATCTCTTCCACCCCCCCCCCCCACTCCACCCCGCCGCTCGCTAAGGATCGGCGCAGGGCGTCGTTATTAAAGGCATCGTAGAAAATAATAAAATGAAGATTAATAGCGCGAGCTCGCGTGCAGCCACGGCGATGCATCGTCGAGTGCAGTATGCATGAAGTTGTTTACAATATCGTCCGGAATTTCTATTGCGAGGAGGAAAACTGAAGGAAAAGAAACCTCCATCGCTGAAAATATGTGACGTGACCGAAAGGCGTAATTTCACTCAGTTTCATTAACGTTTGTATCTTCCGAAAAATTCTTTAGTATTTTAATTGCAAGAGTATAGTTTTTTTTTTCTTCATCATGTTGGATTCGTTCTCTGACAGTTTGCGAATTATTAGTCTTCTTAAATCAGTGCTGCTTTTTTATAATTACTATTTTATCGCGTCGCATCGAAGGAGAGGAGGCAAAAGTGCGGGCGGCCGGTCGATCGATGTTTAATTCTGGAGAAACACGCGAGGCCATCGACGTTAATCAAGTTTCATGCCGCCGCGCTACTTAAGATCGTTCAGAAATCCGTTATAAATTCAATTTACCCGGGCCGGATATTCAAATTAGTCGTAGCAAGTTTTAAGTTACCGCCACTGCCGGGGCGATTACGCGACCGTATATTAACCCCTGCTGTCCGACCACTCCGGCATATTAAAATCACAGATTTGTTCTCTTAACCCCCGCCGTGAGTTGGAAATTATTTTCCACGCTCTCAATATTAGCGCCGATAAGGGCGCTTGACGCGGGAACTTAATTGGCATCTCGGATTAAGAATCTCGAATTTTACACGATTAATTGATGCATCTCCGAACTTTGCGCGAGACTTATTTTAGAAATTACCTCGCCAGCAATATATTATCTTTGCGACGACGAAACGGACGGGACAGAATATCCAATTATCAAGCAAAACAAAGGAAGTGATTGAGACACAGAAATTGGAATTTCAATACACTCGGCTTAGAAAACAATTAATTGTTCAAAGTTAAGAATGCCATTAAGTTTACGTACTCGCGCTCTTTATTGTCGAAGTCAGATGTGCGATTTGGCAGCTATCCGTCGATCATGCGTGTAAATGAATTTGCAGTTTGGAAAATGCGGCGACGAACGAGTTTGCAGATAGAATGCACGCTGGCGTATAAATCTATTTCCGGCGGTACTCACTGCACAGTCCTTGATACAGAACGCGTATCTCTCGTCGATGCTGACATGCCTCGAGGCGAAGCTTGCACTCGTTGCCATAGCTGATGCCATCATCGCCGCACACGGGTTGAAATTCCGCCGGACAAGTCGGACATTGGCACACAGCGTTGCCGCCGCTCTCCGCGCAAATTGCGCCCCATTGACACACCTGCGAACCGAATAATTATCGCAACAATTATACAATGTGCCGTTGCATTACACACACACACACGCACACTGTAAGGAAACTATTAACACTCTCTTCTCACTCCCTTATCAAAGATTTAATCAAGCGTCATATTTTCTAAATTGCCGACAGCGAACTGCAGCAATTATTACACAGTAATTATCTTTCCGCAGCTGAAAGATAATTATCTCTTCCTCTCCCGTATGTTTCCTAATTAAAGTAAAAGAGGGGAGGGGGCGGGCGAATTAAACTGAAAGCAGAAGAAAATATGTTGAAAATGTAAACAAGAAATTAATTAGTTGGAGAAAAGTTTCCCGACTGTATCGGGAATATCAAAGTCCGTAAAACTGTTCGTGAGAAATGCGCGAGACAAGAAACCCGATACCCGAATGTCTTCGTGAAATTCATCGAGCTCGATCTTTCCCCCGTTTCTTTTCATACCAGTACCCGCTGGCTTTCCCACCGGAGATACCTGGCTCGGTGTCATCCAATTAGCGACAATTGCTTTCGGCGGAGGAGCTCGTCGAAATGGTGAGGATCTCACCTCGGGCTTTCGAATTTTGCGGGAAATCGAGAAAGTATCGAGAGGGAGAAATACTGAAGGAGAAGAAATTCCCGCCGCACTCCATTGGACTCCTGATCCCTTCCAATTTCCGCGGTGAATACATCCAGCAATTTCCATTTCGCGAGCTGTTCCGACGTCGATTATAAACTTTGTTTTGCAGACCAATAGCGTTCTCAACTTAAATCACGACTGAAATCGCGACGTATTTTGAATAATAATACACAGCCTCCGCATTTTATCTGTATTTTAGGTGCGAGCGTTTTTTCACAAACATATTCGATCAGTTAACTACATTATCTCTGCAGTTTTAACGAACGCTTCCGAGACGCGATTAACGCTCGTCACGAGCGTTTGCCGAAGAGCGATAATTTGTCGCGTCGGAATCCCGACGCCCACCGGCAGCTATTTCGCTTGCGAATGCGGAAGCGAAGCGGAAGCGGAAGCCGCGAGAATGCGTTGCGCGAAACACGTGCTCTCGCGTGCCGCGCGTTCCCGTGCGCGAGATGCAGATTCAGTTGACCGAGACTGACCTTCTCGGAGCAGGGCCCCCTGGAGCCGCACGTGCCGACGTAGGCGACCTCGATGTTGCCCTTCGTCAGGCACGCCTGCCTCTTCAGCTCGCACATAGACGTGTAGGTGGCTCCGCCGCGGGCGCACACGGGTCTCATCACCGGCTCGCACTCGGGGCCGCATTCACAGCTGGCGATCCCTTGCCGATTGATCGCGCACTGCTCGTAGAGGTTGCATTTCGCCGCCTCGCAGGGATTGTGCCCTGTGAAATCGGAACGATCGTGCGGTTTTCGATTGCGAATCGATTCAACATGATGAATATTTCGGAGAATCTCTTTCGAGGCGCAGAGAATGTGCGAATAAAAAAGATTTATTTATTTAATGTTAATCGTGACACCGCAATATTTTTCAAAGTTATATTAATATCTGTGATAATTTTCATTTTGTTTTGCTACAACAATACGCGTGCGAAATTATTCAACGCTATTGTACAATGCGTATACGAATAATGTTCCGCTATCAATTTATTTAGTGACATTTCGTTGAAATATTAACGGTTTTCGCATTTACCGGTGCTGCAGGCGCCGTTGTAGATTTTCTTGAGCGGCAATCTCGATCGGCAGGCTTCCTGCCGAAGGCTGCACTCGTTCGAATATGTTTTGCCGTCGTTGCCGCACACCGGCGAAAATTCGAGGCCGCACTGCTCTCCGCAACGACAAGCTGGTTGCCTCGAGTCACCCAGTTGACAGATTTCCGGTTCGGCGCACTCGACACTTCCGCAAGGGTCTGGAAAATTAATTCGCAATTAACAGCATAATTAATAGCGCTAATGTTCGTGACATAATGAATTGAGAATAATATGTGTCACATCATCGCACATGATGAATGATGTATACATAATGCTGAATAATTAATCCGAAAAGATTCCTTTTACTCTTTAAAGAGTGTTAAATATTTCTTAAAATGCTTGATCCGCCCGAGCTAAAATTTACCTCACAAATACTTCCAAAGATTAATTAAACAGCAACGTAATTTAAAAATTTGTTTCGCATTCGGTCGATTCATCTGCCTTGGGCTTGCTGCGAATTATGAAAAAAAAAAAAAACTGAATCAAAGTAACGATTTTATCGGGCTTCCTTAAATTTGCGTATAAAAGTCGGGAGAGAATCAGTGTTACGCGAGGCGAATAGGATAGAAGGGTGTAAGGGCGACCGAGCGGTCCAAAATGGAGGAGAGATACGGCTACACCGAGATTAATCTTCACCCTTAACCAAGGAAGGAAGTTAGATTCCGTTTCCTGTCTGCGAGCGGTGGGTGGGTTTCGACCTTATACCGGTGGCTGACGAGGCAAGTTCTCTTCGGGCAGTAGTAGTGTTTCTCAGGGTTAACTCGAGTTACAGTCCAGTGGAGCGACTAAACTCGACCCTTCCGAAACCTGATCCCGTTTCTCCTTCGTTGGTGCTTGCGCGCCAGCTAGTTTGAGCCTAATCGATCGCGAAAAATACCGCTGTGTCGATTTTCGGAGAAAACCCCGGCGGGGGAAGCGTCGTCGCATTAAAAGCAATATATTTGAGGTTAAGACAGACCCTTCCGTCTTCCGCTATCCGCCATTTTGATATTTTTTACATCGTTCTTTTCCGTTCGAATAAAAATGCTCCGAGATGTGATTTTTTTTTCGATAATCGACGAGAGAGAGTTTCTCCAATCGATAATAGAGATGCTCCTTTCATCCCTTACGTGGTTTTGTAATTTCAGCGTGTTATCGAAGGAAATCTCTTGTATCGCTTCCGCTGCTCGCATCGGACGAGATAGAGCGATGTCATCGTACCTTTTCAAGGTCCTCGCCTTAATGGGATTTCTCACCTTGCTTCTTTTCTACCGCCCGCGTCTGCAACCT